TGAGAGCGCAGAAACTTGTTCAAAAACCTTGTTTTGTTTTTCACTTTATTCATTGATTTGGGAGATAGAGAGAGAGAGAGAGATCGCTCTGTTTGTGGTTCCGCCCATCTATGCATTCCTTGGTTGTTTCCTGCACGTGCCCTGACTCGGCCTTGAAGCATCAGCACAACACTCCCAACTGAGCAAGCTGGCCAGGGCACACATAGCCTTTTAATGCTCATCAGGCACAGACAGAGAAGCCCTGTCCCTGCTCAGCTAACTCTAGACCACTCTATGAATAGAGAACCACCTCACGACTTTAGAGCTAACTGTGTCCCATCAGAGTGGAAGGCCAGGTCCTGCTCTCAGCGTGGGGTCAGGCCGCACCTGAGGGTATTAAGGGTACAGACTTGAGGGTGGGAAAGCTGGGCCTGCTCCCGGCTCTGCCACACTCCACGGTCTGACCCTGGCCCAGCCACTAGCCCTGCCCTGGACCCCACCTCCTCATGTACTATCAAGGAAATAGTAAAATTCATTACACAGGGTGGCCATGAGACTAAGAGCAAATTGTGCAGAAGGTCATCACACAGAAGAATCTGCTTGTCCCTCTTTTAGAGGATACGTACCAAAGTTAGGTGTGAATCTCAAGATGTTACAGGCCAAGACACGCGATATTAAAATACAGTTCTGCCATTGTCTCTGCAGCTGTAATCGTCCTGGCATCCCCCCTGCCCCCCCCCCCCGTGTCCTCAGCAACCCTATTCAGTTCTTTCAGCAACCCTTGAAGAAGGTAAGGAAAGGAAAATAATTACTTCTATTTTACAGGGGAAAGAAAGGTAAAGAGGTTAAACGCCCTGTCCAAGGTTGCCTGGCTGGTTCGTGTGACAAAGCCCAATCCAGTGCAAGGGAACTGAATTTTCACGTCTCCACTGTGGGTGCTATGCAGCGTGGCATCCTACAGACAGACTGTAAGGAAAAGAGAGGGAAGGGGGAGGCAGGGAGGTTAGGAGACTTCAAAGGCACACCAACTGCTAATGGGTATGAGGATTCTTTCTGGGGATGATGCAAATGTTCTAAAATAAGATGATGGTGATGATTTCACAACTCTGTAAATATGCTAAATAACATTGATCTGTACACTTTTTTGAAGTTTCTTTTTATTGATTTTTTGAGACAGCTAGAGAAACATCTATTTCTTGTTCCTCTTACTGATGCTTCCATTGGTTGACTCTTGTGTGTGCCCTGATGGGGATGGAACCATGACCTTGGTGCATCGGGAGGGTGCTCTAACCAACTGAGCTACCTGGCCAGGGCTATCGGTACACTTTAAATAGGTAAATTTTATAGTATGAAAATTACATCTCAACAAAGCTGTTAAGAAAAAGACATCAGGTTTTTTGTTTTTTGCTCTGTTTTTGTTTTTTGAATTAGGCAAGACTAAACTCTGGTGGCTAGGGATGCATAACTTTAAAGAAATTCAGAGAAGTGGTCATGATAAAAGTCCAGATTCCTTTCAGGTAGAGGGAAGGTTTTGTGATTGAGACGGACTACACAAAGGACTCCCCCTGGGGTCAGGGGCAAACTTTTAGTTCTTGACCTGACGGTGTTTACCTTATAACAATTCATTCTGCTCCACACATATTTTTTGTAGTTTTCTGTACCTGTTCTATGTAATAAAATGGTTTTTAAAAATAGGAAGAGTCATGCCCTGAATGGTGTGGCTCAGTGGATTGATCACTGGCCTGCAAACCAAAGGGTCACTGCTCCGATTCCCAATCAGGGCATGTACCTGGGTTCTGGACCAGGTTCCCAGTAGGGGATGCATGGGAGGCAACCACACACTGATCTTTCTCTCCCTCTCTCTCCCTTCCCCTCTCTCTCAAAATAAATAAATAAAATCTTTAGAAACAAATAGGAGGAATCGAGTATGGAACGACAGACATGCTCTGTGCTGGCCAGACTGAAAGACAGCCCTTGTGACCCCCCACCCCATTTTGTTTTGGGAAAAAAATATGCTCAGAGACTGAATTTGTCTTTGACAATAGTTTATTTAACATAGCTTCACTGTGGGAATTATAATAATTTCACAAGCCAATAGCATTCAGGAAAATGTCTCTTAGCCAATAAAGAAATAACATACTCTGAACCAATGATAGATTCATTACACTACTGTCCCAAGCAAGGGGAGATGAAAGGAATAAAGTCCAAATTTAGTTAAGATGTACCTTGATAGGACCTGATACTTGAAAGAGGCTTAGCCAACCAAGAGCTGCCAGGGCAAAAGTAATAGTCCCCTGTCACTAGAGCACGTTGCCAGGGAACGATGGCACCAGCGTTGGGCAAGAGAATCTCCTTCCAGAGGCTGCTGTGAGGCTTTTGCCACTGCTGGTGAGAGTCACCTTTACCACAGTGGGAGTTAATGCCCCAGAGTTCACTTAGGTCAGCAAAGTGTTGCCTTGCCCAGACCGACACTCTCAGATATTCCCTGCAAACTCTCTGTATTGGTTGTCCTTTTTTTTCAGTTAATATTTATTTAGCATTTAATGCACAGCTTTATAAGGAGAGAAATATATGGGGAAAAATAAAAATGGCATTTTTCTCATTCTGAACATTCTTAAGGAATCTATCTGCTTTGCCAGAGACTGCAAAGCACACGCACATGCGCACATGCACACGCATGCGCACTCCAAAGCCCAGCAGTGCCACCGTTCACCATAAGAAATGTCAGGTTCAACTCAGTACTTGGCAGTGATGGGGGCTAGGAAGGAAAGGTGAGGACATCTGAAATATAGTTTTCTTTTGGTTTAACCTTAAACTTGTCAATTGCTTCTTTCCTTGAACAGCTTTATCTTCTGTTTGATACCCAGCTACACTCAGAATTGGAAACTTAGTAAAATTACTTAATGATTCCACTTGGAATTTATAACCATACAACTAAGAGGTTTGAATATAATCCTATCCATACGCCAGATAAACTTTAGGAACTCTTAGTATTTTCTTTTACAAAAATTCTCTCCTCTGATGTAGTTAGGTTAAGGGCCAGAAAACTAACTTTCTTAAATGAGGCAAAAAAAGTTTTTCAACTACAACTGTAAATAAGAAATCTTTCTTTTACATACAAAATCAATTTTCTGAACTGTACAATGAATTCTAACTTGATGTTTTTTACTTTTATAATTCACTTCAAACAGTGACCTACAGAGTTTGTTTAAGCAATAATAAGTTCCTCTTCTGATTTCTTTAGAATAAAAAACAATTAGGACTTCCGCCAAGATGGAGGCATAGGTGGAGACGCCGTGCTTTCTCCCACAACCAAGTTTAGAGACAACAAAATATTAGCAACAGAAACACAGCCAGAACACAGAAAACTGAACTTCTCAGAAGTCCGATAACAACAAATGCTTCCGGTAAGAGGGGCGAAGCCAGCAGCTGGCGGAGCGGGGTTGCACAGGAAAACTCGGTCAGACAGACTCAGGTGTGCGGATCCCAGGTGTGGGGTTGCAACAGGCAGACCCAGTGAGCAACCAACGTACCCAGAGAGGGTGCAGGGCGGCAGGTTGACTGTGGTCCTGCATTCGTGCCCAGACAGATCTGCAAGGGAGTGGGCGGTGAGACAGGACCGAGCAGGCCCCAGTGACGAGAGGCAGCAGAGGGGGCCGCCATTTCCTTGCTCTGACCCTGCCCCCACATACAGCATCACAACTCAGCGACCTGGGCGGCCCCGCCCTGGTGAACATCTAAGGCTCCGCTCCTCATAATTAACGGGCGCAAACAGACCAAAAATGGTTCAAGAAGATCTCAAAGCCCCAGAGCCCATAAATCTAAGCAATGAAGAAATAGCAAAACTTTCAGATGCATAGTTCAAAACACTGGTGATCAGGATGCTCACAGAACTGGTTTGATTTTAGTCACAAATTAGAGGAACATATGAAGGCTAAACTAATTGAAATGAAGGGAATTACACAGGAAACCAATAGTGATGGAAAGGAAACTGTGACTCAAATCAAGGGAGTGAACCAGAAGGAAGAAAATAATGGCCAAACAGGAAAATATGAAGAAACAAGAATTCAAAAAAATGAGAAGACACTTAGGAACCTCCAGGACATCTTTAAATGCTCCAACATCCGAATTATAGGGGTACCAGAAGGGGGAAAGGAACAGCCACCAGTGGAAAACTTATTCGAACAAATAATAAAGGAGAATTTCCCCAATCTGGCAAAGGAAATAAACTTCCAGGAAGTCCAGGAAGCTCAGAGAGTCCCAAAGAAATTGGACCCAAGAAGGAACACACCAAGGCACATCATCATTATATTAGCCAAGATTAAAGTGAAGGAGAGAATCCTAGAAGCAGCAAGAGATAAGGGGACTGTCACCTACAAAGGATTTCCCATCAGACTGTCAGCAGATTTCTCAAAAGAGACCCTACAGGCAAGAAGGGGCTGAAAAAAGGTATTCCAAGTCATGAAATCCAAAGACCTACAACCAAGATTACTCTATCCAGCAAAATTTTCATTTAGAATGGAAGGACAGATAAAGTGCTTCTCAGATAAGATCAAATTCAAGGAGTTCATCATCACCAAGCCCTTATTATATGAAATGTTAAAGGGACTTACCTAAGAAAAAGAAGATAAAAAATATGAGCAGTGAAAGGACAGCAAACTCACAATTATTAACAACCACACCTAAAACAAAAGCAAACTAAGAGGACAGCTAGATCAGGAGCAGAACCATAGAAATGAAGATCTCATGGAGGGTTAGCAATAGAGGAGAAGGGAGGAGAAGGTACAGAAAATAAGTAGCATAGATGGTAGGTAGAAAATAGATAGGGGGAGGGCAAGAATAGTATGGGAAATATAGAATCTAAAGAACTTGAGACACATGGTCATAAACTAAAGGGGGGGAATGGTGGGGGCGGAGGGGTGCAGGGTGGAGGGGAATGAAAGGGGGGAATAGAACAACTGTAATGGCATAATCAATAAAATAAAATAAAAAATTAAAAAACCCCAAAACCAAAAAACAAATAATAAACAAATTATTTATTAAACAACAAAAAAATTAAATGTGTTGAAGATACTACTAAAAATATTTCCCTTTTTGAATATGGCCTCTCCATTGCAACATATAGGAATTTTTCTAATTAACTCTCAAATCTTCCCAGAACCTCTATTTAAAAAAATACCATCTAGAAATAATTTAAATGAATGCTTTAACAAAACTAGTTCACAAGTGCCTATTACCATAATCATCAGTTTAAATAAGTCTCCTAAATATGTTCTGCATCAACTTTCTTGATTATAAGATGTCAATAATATGGAAACATTTTTGATATAATAGAACATTTAATTACATAGTTTCCCATCAACTATGTATGGGAACACAAGCCATTTGATGATGATTATATTGGCCACTGCCCTTGGCTGGCAGGGGGCTCTTCTGCTAAAGGCTCCCATGGCTCTCGCTGTATCAATTTTCCCGCCAGACTTAGTCCATTTTCAGCCTGAAGAACACCTCTTCTATTCAGCCCCCCTGAAGTTGGTCTTCTGGTTTTTTTAACATCTGGTTCCACTTTAACCATATCCAGCTTCTCCCTTGTAACCTGTTCTGTAGAATTCCTATATGCTGCATGTTTAGGGATTTGCTCCAGAATCCTTGTGTGCAACATTCTTAGCCTCTGGTGCAGACTCTGACACACAGCCAATTCCACACGGCCAGCAGTCTTCTTCAACAAGTCCGCCCTGGCAGCACCAATGGGCCGGGCCGCGCACCGGCATTCTCTCAGTGTCCTCTTGCCATCACTGCTGCTCCGCTTGTTCTTATCAATAAGCCCCAGCAGGGCAATAAGCCCTGAGCAGCCGAGTGCTTATCAACAACCACAGATGAAACCACAGCATCCTGACACAACCGACTTCATTCTTATACATCAAAACGACCTCCTTTCTAAAAACATTTTTTTTGTCTTTGCCATAAACAGGATTAAGACAACTTCACTTAAGTCTTAAACAAATGGATTTAAAATCATGTCAAACCAATACTCCCTAGAAATGGAAGCCCGGAGAGAAAGTGAATGTTGCCAAGAACCCCGGGAGCCTGGAAGCAGATCCGCCCCCAGTCGAGCCCCAGATGACACCGTGGCCCCAGCTCACACCCCAACTGCAGCTTGTCAGACTCTGAAGCAGAGGCCTCACCCAGGTTGTGCCCTGACTCCTGACTCACTGAGGCTGAGAGAGGAAATGTTTGCTGCTTCAAGTGGCTATATTTGTGCAAACATTATTACGCAGAGATCCATAACATGCCCCTTGTGTTTGGGGGTCCCTAAAACCACTCTCAGGTTCAGTGATTCACTGGAACTCAGCAAAGCTTTATACACTTGGTTACAGTTTATTACAGTGAAAAGTTACATATTAAAATCAGCAGTAAAAAAAAGAAAAGGCACATAGGTCAGGAGACAGCAAAATCCTCTCCCAGTGAAGTCAGAGGAACAGTGCTTAATTCTCCCAGCAACAGTGTGTGACAACGTGTGAGGAGCACTGTCAACCCGGGGAAACTGACCCAGGCCTTGGCATCCAGGGCTTGTAGCGGAGGGAGGCAGGCCTCGCCAACCCGGTGGCTCACCTTGGTCTCCAGCCTCTGGGGAGGTCAAGCTGGTGATACCTCCTGGCCCAAGGCCCCCAGGTAAACAAACACTCTTATCAGGCAGGATATTCCAAGGGATTAGAGATTGCCTCCCCGGCGGAGCCAGTCCAGGGCCCTTCCTTTCTGTAAGGTGCACAATGGAACATCCCAAACCTGCGGGCGTTAACCCTTTACTGCGCACCCCTTACCATCAGGAGTGGGACTCTTCTCAAGTTGCTCTCCTGCTTGAAGGCACAGAGAGAGGACGGGAAACCCCTGTGCTTACTTAACCTTTATGCCCTTACTGGCCTTATAGTCAGAGAATTTCCGGGATGTAAACCGTACAGCCAGAAGGCAGGGTGCAGGGGCGAGGAGGCAGACACTGGCCGCTCCCACAGAAGCTTCTCCTGATCAGCCACCGAATAGAAGGCCAGCTTCCCCTGGTCAAGGTCCAGATAGATGCCCACCACCTTAGGTTTTTCTGAGCCGAGGACAGTTTCCTTGACCATGTGCCACACAGAGAGCTGGCTCGTTCCCTTCCACTCGAGGCACGAGGAGTCCCTGGTCCTTCCCAGGGTCTGGTCTCGACTCATCTTCCAGGACGCCACGCCAACCGCCCAGTGACTGCAGTGCTGAGTGTCCACTTCCCAGTAGTGCTGCCCGGAAGAGAAGGCTTGGGAACAGAAGACCTGGCAGGTCGTGAACCTGTCACGACTCCAGGAGTAAGGCTGTGGGAAGTGAGACACCGTCACCTTCCGGCAATCCTTGGACACCTCCAGGCTGCAGGACAGGCTCCTCAGGTCGAAGGTTGGACTGATGGAGCCTGAAGACAACATAAGACCATGACCAGCCATCTCTGATTGTCCATGCTGAAAGGTCCTCAAACAGAAAAAATCAGCTTTGCATCTTTGGCTGTGACAGTTTTACTCATGCTGGCATTAATTGTCAACTTGCTACTCTCTGTCATTACCCCAATGTTGTCTACTAACAATACCCCTTTTCTCCTTAATCTCCATTTACCATTACCCTTCTTTCAGGAAGCCCTCTCTGAATGCCACCCAGCAAAAAGTGACCTCTTGCTTTTCTCAGCACCTCTAGTGTTTTACCTGTTTTCTAATATGTCATTTTCTACTTGAAGTACAGGGACTTATTGCTATGGCTGTTTACCTCTCTCTAGCTGTACATAAGCTTCCTGAGAAAGGATCTCCGCTTACTCATTTTTGTGTATTTTACACTGTTTCCTATTGAGTGAATAAATGCCAACACTTACGTAGCATCGCTACTCCAGGCACACCTTTAAACAGGTCCACTCATTTAACCCTCGTGACAACCCCACGAGGGAAGTAAGTACTATTATCTCCCTCTTCCAGATGACGGAGCCGAGGCTCTGGGAGGCTGTGCAGCTGGTCCAAGGTCACAGAGCTAGTGAGTGCAGCAGCTGGGAGACAAACCCAAGGGGTCTGGCCCCAGGATCCAAGCCCTCAGTGACTAGTCCAGACTGGGACAGGGGCTGGAGCTAATCGAGTTGGGGAATGAGCAGCTGCTGTGCCAGGTGACCCCAGCATGGATGCCCACAGGTTGCCTGGGCTCTGAGTGCTCACGGGTCTGGCTTAGACTGGCACTTGGGAGCCTTTAACCCCTCTGTCTTTGTAGTCAGCTCCCCGTGTGGAGGGACCTTGTCTGGGGCAGGCCGGCCCAGCAGCAGGGAGACGGACACCGCATGCTCTCGCAGCTCCTCCCGTGGCAGGCCCAGCCCAGGTTTTAAGCCGACCACACACTTACGCTGAACAAGCCAGGATGCAAGGCGGCCCCCTTCGGTCAGTGGGCGTGAGGAGGAGGACGGACCTTCCAGGATTTTACCTAGGGAATCAAAAACAATGGGGGGGGGGGGGTCTCATTTAAAAAAAAGGCAATGGGAAAACATACAATAAAGATTAAGTTGTTTTAAAAAGCTATTAAAAACAGGCAAGTAGAAGGTGTGTAAACGTCGTGACCAGGACACGCGGCCTGCTGTCCTCTGCAGCGGCCTGTTTTGGTGTCCGGAGGGGTCCAGGCAGCGCGCCGGCTCAGGCGCCACCAGCCTGTGCTCTCACTGCGCACGTCCCCGCTCCTTGCGCACTGAGCTCTACACTCACTGCTGGCCGCTTGGGCATCGCCGTGTTCTGAGCACCAAGCCCAGCGCCAGGTACACAGGAAGTGTTTGATGTATGTTTATCAGATAAATTAACTAATACCCTTCCAGGGGATCACAGTACCCCGACATCCGGAATACCCACGAACCCCATGTCAGCGCTTTAAACTGTTACAAAAACCAGGAAACATGAGTTGGTGTGAGAGTCATCTCAACTCACTGACACCTTCTACTTCTCTCCCAACGTACTAGAGTTTAACTGCTAACTTAAAGCTACCATATGCTTCCAGTGCCCGGGTACTAGGGAGGAGAAAGTAAAGGAAATGTTGGCGTGTGCACTGTGAAGGTGAACTCTTCCCCCATTTGTAGTGTGAAGTAAGGGCAGCTCTAAGTGAACCTAAGAGTCAGACTGTGAAGAGACAGAAGACCCCCTCTCAGGTGTGGGCTGCGAGGTGACGGGAGCAGGAGAGCTAGCCTTCAGGAAGCCATGATTGAAATGCAGGTGGACACCACTGTGCTTATATTGAGCTGATAGGATTTTTACTTACTATTAATCATAGTGTTAAAAAAATGTTTTTACCTAAGTCACCATCCCCCCCCCCAACTAATAGGGGAAAATAAGCAACATTTTACTGATTCTTGAAGATACTTTGAAAAAAAAAGTGATAGAGGCCCTGGCTGGTGTGGCTTAGGGGATTGAGAACCGACCTGCAAACCAAAGAGTCAGGGGTTCAGTTCCCAGTCAGGGCACACGCCTGAGTTGCAGGTCAGGTCCCCAGTAGGGGGTACACCAGAAGCAACCACACATTGATGTTTCCCTCTCTCCCTCCCTTCCTATCTCTAAAAATAAAGAAATAAAATCTTTTAAAAAATGATAGATGCTGTACATGCATAAATGTTGAGTAACTATTAAATAAAACACTGGTAACCATTAAAGACTTGTAGTTTTATGACATATTAATTTCTCAGGATATAACCTTAATTGTTTACCCACTGGTTATGATAGGTTTTGTAGAAGAAAAACAACTGATGCTTCAGCAAGCAGTTGATTTTACAGAAATGATTATTATATACATTTAGTGAGAAATTTCTGTATACTAGTATCTAAAAAAATCTCATTTTTCTATTAAAGAAGAGCCCTTTTCTTTTTTAAAAAGTAGCCAGGACCCCTGGGGAATATAAAATGACCCTCTACCAGGCACGGGGGTCGGCAGCACTGCTCTGTTTAAGGCGACTGGTGCTGCACAGAACACTATTTCCACGGCAGCTCCCGGTGCGCTTTCACCAGGGCGGAGGAGACCATGTGATGAGTCTGTCAAATTGCTTGGCAGCTGTTAGAGCAGGGACTCGGAGAACAACTAATCTATTGTTTTAAAAACAATCTGGTGAAAATATCAGGGAATGATGTTTCAGGAACTAGGAATATATCCAGATTCTTTGTTTTAAAAATATTCTGGACTGGCCCAAATAATCAAAACAACACAATCACAAAGAAAGAAGTACACTGTACTTGCTAAGGCATACTAACATCTTGTAAGTTGAATTTTAAAAAAATACTGAAGTATACCTGATTCCTCAAAAAATTAAAAAACAGAACTGCCATATATATGATCCAGCCATTCCACTTCTGGGCACATATTCAAAAGAACGGGAGGCAAGATCTCAAAGAGGCACCTGCACACCCATGTTCATAGCGGCCTTTTTCACAACAGCCGAGAGGCAGAAGCCGCCCACTGCCCACTGCTGGCTAAATGGATAAACAAAGGGTCGCGTGTGCGAACAGCGAATGTCAGCCTGAAGAAAGAAGGAAACTCTGACACACGCTACAACGCGGATGACCCTTGATAACATTATGCTAAGTGAAACAAGCCAGTCACAAGAAGACAGTAACTGCATGATTCCACCCATATCTGGTATGTAGAGCAATCGAATTCATAGAAGCTGGAAGTGGAACGGTGGTTGCTAGGGGCTGGGTGGGGGGGTGGGCAGTTACTGTGTAAACAATATAGTTTCAGTTTTGCAAATTGGAAAGACCTGGAGCTTGGTCACACAGCAGTACGGAGGTACTTAACTCTACCGAACTGTACACTTAAAAACAGGTAAGGTGCTGGATTTTATGTTATGTGCGTCCTACCACAGTTGAAACTTTAAAAAAAATTAAATGCATTCTTCGATAATGTAGAAATTGATAATTTTTCCAAGAAACCATGTTTCTCCTGTTAAACAAGATGCAACTTTCAGTCAGGCCAACATTATTAAATATAAAAGCAGGATAAAAGGGGTGTCTTTGAAGTGGAACTATGTAAACATCATTTAAAAGTCACTGGGACACATTCCAGGACACACTTCACGTGGGTCACAGGCTGGAGTGTAAAATGTGAAACCAAAGATTTAAATGTAATATATAAAGAAGGATAACAGACACACACAGGAAAATTTCCTTCTAAAATTGGGGTGGTAAAGTTTTCTAATAAAAATGTAAAATCTAAAACCCATAGGAGAAAAGATTGGTAAAATGTATTACTCAAAAAACAGAGAAGTGTCTACATGGTAGTCTGAAGTCCATGCCAAGCAGAATGAAGAGGTAAATGACAGACGGAGGAACCAGGTTGGCAATTCATTTCACAGAAAAAAAGGTTAATAAACCTGCAAATTTACAAAAAGTTTCCTAAAAGTCCATTTTTTAAAGATACAATACAAGATATAAACACAATTTGTGAAGCAGTGCACATTAAAAGAATGGAACACTCAAATATGACTTTTCTTAACCCATCAGATTGGCAAAAAAAGAACAATCACAAAGGCTTGACCATCCATGCAGTTGGCAGCCTCTGAGGACACACATTTCTCCTGTGAGGGCAGAGATACGACCCGACAGAGGGCAATTTGACAACAGATATCAAAATTACAAGTGAATCCACCCTATGATTCCGCAGCCCTTACTGGCACCATGTCTGCACCCATATAAAATGATGTATGTATAGTTTTTAACATTGACATCGTTTGCAATTGTAAGCAATCAGCAGCAATCATGCAGCCATCAGTAGAGGACTGTGTAAACCAGCGTTGGCATGTGCATGAGCTGGAATGGCGTGCAGCTATAGAAAAGAGAAAATGCTTACGGTGCCAATTCACATATGTATTTAGGTGTATTGAATAAAGAAGAAAAGCAAAAGGCAGAACGGTATATGCAGTATGCTACCTGTTATGTAAAAAAAGATTCAGAGAGCTAAGAATATAAATTCAGACTTGCTTGTCTTTGCACAAATAAATTCTGAATGGACATTCAAGAAACTAATAAATATAGTTAACTGAGAAGGGGGGGTAGCTGGAACTGGGCAAGAGTGGGAAAGACTTTTGTTGTGTGTCCTTTTCTATTGTTTTGATTCTTCAATTAAAAATTAATTTAAAAAAATTTAAGTTCAAATCTATATGTTGAATTTTAAAATTAATTAAAAATTCATATGAATAAAAAAAATCACGAAGGAACCCAAAGTCAGGAGCACACAGTTGCCAAGAGGGCACTTATTTCTCAGATCATTTTTGTAACAATTAAACTGTAAACTGTGCTTACTTGGTTTCCCAAAGAAAATTTTTCCAAGGGATCATGTTTCTCCACTTAAATAAGGAATGACTTTTTAAGCAGAGCAAGATCATTTAAATTTTTTAAAAAACCTTTAAGAGATATGTCTCTAAAGTGTATAAAGCTGGTGGTGGCCTGAGCAGGGGACAGAGCCGAGGGAGACCAGAGCTGATGTCCACGGGACGGGTATTCGTTGCTTTTCTCTAACGACCAGGGGAACAACAGAGGATCTATAGTCCGAACAAAAAGATTCTTGTCTATACTGTTACTGTTTAGTATTAACAAACTCTCCAGAGATTACATTTTAACAGAATCAATCAAGAACTACTTACAAAGTTGCATGTTTGTCAATACCTTTACTAGTTAAAAATAAAAAGCATCCTATTTCTGAATCTCCTCTAATAAGTAATACAGATGAGTGGTAAGCGAGCCAACTCTGGTCCAGATTCTGGATTTATTTATACGTCTTAGAAAACGAGTTTCTATCGCTTCAAAGGCCTGTGTTACATTACACCTCCAGTCACTCCCCAAAACATAGCCAGCCACAAAACACCTCAGCCCCTTCCTTCCTTATTTACAACACCACAGTGACAATGCCACCGGGTTCTGGGAGCACGTCCCCCCAAAAACAAAGCCATGGAACACTCTACGACTCCCCCCAACCTGTGTGTTTAATCCTCCCCTCCAAACAAAATCAACTCACCCTGCCTTTGTTCTTCAAGGCGCTGTTTACCCAGGAAGTTTTCCTGTAGTTTTCCCCGGATATCTTCTAGGTCATGCAGAATGTCTCTCATTTTTTTCTCAGATGCGTTGGAAGCCACTAGCTTTGGAGAAGCCAAGGAATGGTCTGCCTGTCGACGAAACGTTTTTTTAGAAAATGATGAAAGTCTCCTCGGGAATACATCAAATAGTATATTCCAGTTCAGCAACCATTGTTTACTTTTCCACTCGTATCCTAACAAGTTTTTAAAAACATAACTAGGCCCTGACTGGTGCGGCTCAGGGGGCTGGGCATCATCCTGCAGACTGAAAGGTCACTGGTTCGATTCCCAGTCAGGGCACATGCCTGGGTCGCAGGCTTGGTTCCCAGCTGGGGCACATACAGGAAGCAACTGGTCAATGTTTTTCTTCTTCTTTTTCATTCTCCCTTCCCTTCTCTCTAAAACTAACTAAATAACTAAATAAATAAATTTGAACAAAAAATCAGGCCCTCAGATTATATGCCTTGAAAACAATCTGGAATAATACACAGTGCAGCAAAAATATTAAAGAGCAATGGGGTTATGGATGATTTTCCCTTATTTTCCTTCAACTGCTATGTATTTTCTAGTACATTGTATAGTAAATATTAATTTCTCAAGTAGTGCTGAAAAAAGTTAAAAGTTTTTAGGTCCGTATAATAGTGGCTTTACAAAATAAATAATACAGATAGGCAAGCCACTGAGGCGAGCTCCACCGGCTAGACTAACCTCCAGACCGCTGTCATTGTATCATACAGCTTCCCCAGAGCCAGCACAAGCCTGCTGTCTGCACAGGCCCCGCTCTCTGGGGCCTCCAGCACACGCTCACCGATTTTCTTTAACCTCGGGTCCTCTTAGTTCCCAACACAGCCTCCCATCTGCTCCTTCCCACCTGCAGCCCTGGAGTATCCTGCCCAACTTTCCATAAACCATTTCCCCTTTCTTCCACCAATTGTAATAGTAACAGGCACCAGTTACTGACTAACTCCCACTGCTCTTCTGATATGCAGAACAACCTTCCAAGGTAGGTTTATGGTCCCCATTTTGCAAAAGAAGCTAAAGTTCATGAAGTGGAACTAAAAATTGCAATAGTTAATGTTATTGTTCCGTATTTCACATTGCTAAAGCACTTTCTTATACAAAATTCCTTTTAATCCCCACATCAGACTAATTGGCCCCATTATTTCCGTTTTACAGATAGGAACCTGAGGCTCAGAAATGACTTGCCCAAGGTCATAACCCCACTGAGTGGCAAGGCCAGGTCTGAAAGTCAGACTCTCGGACTGACCTTCCGCCCCACACACTGCATCCCACACTGGCCTGCGTTCAGTGGGAAGTGTCTAGCGCTGTGCTAGGCCTGGGGCTACAAGGGTGAACAAAAGAACAAAAACCGTCAAGGTTTCTACCCTCATGAAGCTTCCAGTCCAGCGCAGGAGAAGAGGCAGGACAGGCGCTAATGAATTGTGGCACTGGTGATTACCAAGTCGCCGCTGTGACAGCTGCGATACATGAAAGGTACATGAAATCATGAGAGCCCCTAACAGGGGGGATGGACTTGTTCAAGGAAATCAGTGAAGGGTTCTCCAAGACAGTGGTGATCTACTCGGGCCCTGAGGGATGAGCAGGCATTACCAGGTGAGAGGGCGAAAGAAGAACACTCCATGGAGTGCGCTCTGTAGTGGGAAAATGTGTGACAACACCCTGGAGGGAGTGGCGTGTTCCCACGTGGCTGGAATTTGAAGAGCCAGGAAGAGCTGAGTGAAATGAGACCGGAGATGCGTTGATTCTGTGAGGGGGGGACGGGTTCTTAATCCTACACAGACAGATGTCACTGGAGCCTGTTAAGCAGATAAGCTACAGGATCAGATTTGTGTTTAAGAAGGTCACTCTGATGACCTTGAGGACAGCAAGCTAGAGGGGAGAGTGGGGCAATTAGGAGGCTGCTTGTAGCAATCCAGGTGAGAATGGTCATAAGCTTGGATTAGAGAAGTGTCAAAGGAGAGGTGTTTCAGCAGGTGAGGGAGCAGGGGACATGATTCCCAGATTTCTGGCTCGTGCAGGGAAACTAGCAGTGCCAGGAAGGTGGGGGGTGCCAGAGAAGGAACGTTTTGGGGCATGTTAAAGTGATGTGCCTTTGAGATGCCAAGGGGAAAACACGAGAAGGAAGACCCCAGCCTAGAGCTCAGAGCTGTGCCCAGGACGGAGCTCTGTCTGTGCTAATTAAAGCCATGGTGTGGGGAGGAGAAAGGGACCCACAGTTCAGCCTTGAGGAATCCCAGCATTTCACTGCTAAGCAGGGGAGAGCGAGCCTGCAAAACGGACAGAAAAGGGACAGCCAGGGAGAAACAGGGGAAGGCTGGAAGACGCGTCTCGCAGAGGCTGAGGGAAAGGAAAGCTTCAAGAATGAAGGTGGGGTCCACCTGTGCCCAAGGCTGCCACAGGTCAGTGATGATGAGGACTAGCTTGACTGCAGGGTTTGCATAGAGGCCACAGGAGATCTTAGAGCTGGTTAGGTGGAGTGATGAGGAGGGAACCCGGGCCACTGGAAGCTTTCCTAGCTCACCTCAAGCATTCCAAACTTCCAGCCAACCCACTGGGCAGTAGAGACAATGGTAAAAGACTGAGACTTAGTGCGTCCTTCCGGTGCGAACATACTCATGTTGCTCCAGTTGGAAGCTGTCCCTAGCCCTGCCCACACCCCCCACAGACAACCTTTCCTCTCCCAGCTGAGCCTACCGTGCCCAGGATGTTCAGTTTATTGTCTGGTCCAGATTCTGGGAGCTGTGTCTGACTCTGAAGGCTCCTGACAATGTCTACAAGCTGTTCCGTCAGCTTTGCCAGCTCCTGACCTACTTCTGTGTTGCTCCTCGGTGCCGCCACCTTTAAAAGAGCAAAGCAGAACACAAAGCTGGACCCAGGAATCAGCTCTAGACAGAGGGTAAAGGCTGGATAACGGAGCAAGCAAGAAAGTGACAGAAATATTCAAGGGACAAGGAGGTAGGCTCCCCAAACCTTTTGCATGCCCATTTCCCTTAGTGACCATCTGGTGGCCATAACAGGAAACCAGAGTCCATCTGTCAGGACCAAGGTGGGGGGATAGAAGTGTGAAGTGAAGCCTAGGGGTCGCTATGAACAGGGAAAGTCAGAGAAAAAATGGGGATGAGCCTGGAGATTCGGCAGGGCAGGTGGCAGCTGACACAGCGAGTGGTGCAGTGGAAAGCATGTGGCTCAGGGTTAAGCTCCTCTCTTGCCTCTGCCTCATCCCGTCCTCCCACTCCTTTCAAAAGAGAAAGTGACCATCCCTCCTTCCTCCATAGGGAAAGGGAGCTACCTAACTGTTCACAGTGAAAGGATCTTGGAGACTCTAAAACGACGGTAACACTCTTTGCTCTGCAATCTCCAGGTTTTTCTCCTAAACATCCAAGCAGCTGGAACTCTGGAGTGGACCCCTTAGCCAGGCACCTGAGCAAATTAAAAACTTTTAAAAACAGCTGCATTGCTTTTTCTGTCCATAAGAGAAAAGCACACTTATCATGGCAAATGAAGAAAACGCAGAAAATGAAAAAGAAGAAAAGTCCTACCCTCCAAAGACCATCATTTGAATGTAGAAGCCAATGCAAAGTATATTCAATCACCATAAACTACATCAACAAAGAGTTTTAAGAACTGGAGGGATAATACTGTATACATGATTTAAAGTAGAGAACAGGCTTTATTCATAATTGCAAAAAAAATTGAAGCAACTGATATGTCCATCAAAAGGTGAATGAAGAAAATATTATTCAGCATAAAAAAAAAAAGAGCTACGCCACAACACTTAATTTTGGTTTGCGAAAGAAGCCATTGTGGAAAGGCTAGATACTGTATGATACCAGCTATATGGCATTCTGGAAAAGGCAAAACTAGAGAGAGTAAAAAGATCAGTAGTTGCCAGAGTTAGGGGTGGGGGTGCAAATAGGAGGAGCACAGGGGGTTTTCAGGGCAGTAAAACTGTATGACTACTCAATTTGTAGATACGTGACCTCAAACACTTGTCAAAAGCCATAGAACTTTTGGCTTTTGACACCATGAAGAGTGAACCCTAATGTAAACTATGGATTTTAGTTAATAACAATGTATTAATATTGGCTCATCAATTGTAACAAATGTAACACAATACTGCAAGGTGTTAATAATAAGGGAAACTGTGAGAGGTATACAAGGACTTCTATACTATCTGCTCAATTTTCTGTAAATCTAGAACTGCCCTAAAAAATAAAGTCTATTAACTCATTAAAAAAAAAGACATAACCTGGCTATACAACATAACCTCAGCTCTGTTTAAAAGGACTTCAGAGAGCCCTGGCTGGGTGGCTTAGTTGGTTGGAGCACCATCCCATGCACCAAAAGGTTGCAGGTTTGATCCCGTCAGGGCACATGGCTAGGGTGTGGGTTCCTGCCTTGGTCAGAGCGCATACGAGAGGCACCTGATGGATGTTTCTCCCTTCCTCTCTCTCTCAAATCAATAAACACATCCTTTGGTGAAGACTAAAACAAACAAACAAACAAACAAAAAAGTACTCCAGAGAACAAAAGGATGGTGTAGGCAGCGCCAAACTCTCAACGCCCCTACCCCTGACCGGGCCCCACAGAAACATTGGAAAACAAGCAGAAACTGCCAGAATCAACTTTGTCAAAACTCTGGAAAACACTGAATCAAAAAAAGAGCAACCTGGCTGTAGAAGAGCTTGCAGTGTTTTCCCTTGCCCTTCCCCTCTCCCTCCCTGACTCAGTGACAGCATTTGATTCCCAGCCATGGTCCTGGTTCTGGAAGGAGCAGAACAGACCTTATTCGCAAACGGTCATGTATGTCTGTTCTAAGCTGGCTGGGAGCTGCCGGAAGGAATGGCGCAGGATGTTCTTTGCTTTGCCTGACTCAGGGCTCAGGCCAGAAAGGCAGGCGGTGGGCATGGCTCACAAACACAGCAAGCTGAACGGAACTTGCAGATGTCTGGGGAGAAAGATTATGGTTGAAACCCGTAAGTCCCAGGAGCAAAACCTGGGGAAAATCGACCCCTCCTACTTTGTTGGTGGGAATATAAAATGGTATACCTTCTGTGGATTACAGTTTGGCTATTCCTCAATAAGTTAAAAGAGAATTACACTATAACCCAGCAAATACACTCCGAGGTGTTTACCCAAAAGAAATGAAAATAGGGACTGGGATGCTTGTTTGCCCGTGTTCACTGCCACATCACTCACAATAACAAAAGATGCAAACAATCCAAATGTCCATGGATGCATGAGTGGATTTTTAAGAAATGTGGTACACACATCTATACAAAGGAACATTATTCGGCCACAGAGAGGAACGAAGTTTGGGCACGGGGTATGACGAGAAGGAAACTTGAAACCTTGGTAAGTGAAAGAAGCTAGACAAAGGTACAGATGTTGTATGATTCCACTTATACGAAGTATCTAGAGGAGGCAAATTCATGGAGGCAGAAAGTAGATTAGAAGTTACCCGAGGCTGGAGGCAGGGGAGAATGAAAGTTACTGACTGCGTAGTGGGCAGAGCTGTTTGTAGCGATGAAAACGTTCTAGAAACAGTGGTGGTGATTACACAACATTGTCAACATAACTCAAGCCACTAGATCATACACTTAAAAATGGCTAACACGGCAGATTTTGTTATATATATTTTACCACGATAGAAAATTCTTAGACAGACAATGGAAAGACTGGAAAGAAGTGTAACTGTGCCAAGGAGTGGAGCAAAGAGGTTGACAGAATTTCAGATTTGAATTTTTTCCCCTGCTTCTTTATACGTTTCTGAAGTTTCCAAAAGGGCAGGTTCTACTTTTAGATGGAGAAAAGTAATTTGAAAGTAGAAAGGATGTGGGAGAAAGAGCCATCAAGGGGGAGGGGCAGGTGCAGGCCACGAAGACGGGCGGTCGACGGAGCAAGAGCCGGGAGTCGCCACCCTACCGACTGCAGCGCGGCGCGGCCCGGGGGCTGGGGGGCGGGGCCGGGGGCGGGGCTCGGCGTCCCGCCGGTGGCGCCCTCCCCTTCGCCCACCGCCTGGAGGTACTTGCTCGCCAGGTCTTGCAGCAGCGTGTTCTTGCGCAGCTGCAGCGGCTGCGCGCTGCCCTCCCGGCAGGTCGGACACGACCAGGAGGGCCCTGCGCCCCACAAGCGCTTCAAGCAAGCTCGGCAGAAGCTGTGACCGCAGGGCAACGTGACGGGCCAGGCGAGCAGCCCGTGGCAGATGATGCAGCCCAAGTCATCCTCGGCCAGCCACACGGGAACGGTCAGGCCGCTGTCCAGGCCCGCCATAGTGACCAGGCCGCCGCCCGGAAGCAGAGCCACAGCGGGGACCGCCCGCCCGCCGCTACGTCTCCTCCGGCTCCTCCCTAGTTCTTCCTCTGCCCTCCTCTCGCTGCCTCTTACTGTAGCTGTCTCCGTTTCTTTCCTTTCTCCCGTCCTGCAGAAAGCAGACTCACAAGACCCGCCGCCCTGTGCACAGCGCCCTCTGTGCAGAGGTGGCGCCACTGCAGCCCCCTGCGCCGGGAAATCAGCTCACCCCAAACCGCCAGGAACCCGCCGGGGGCCCCAGAGACTTCCTCTAGCTTGTTGTTCCCTCATTAAAATGCAACCGCGACAACACTTAGGAGAAGAAAAGGGACTCCATTTCAGATTCTTTTAAAAGAATGCGTCCACTAGGTGTCATCCAGCCCCTGAACAAGCAGTAAGTGATTAAAGAACATCCAGAGCACCGTGCTGGGAAGCTCTTTAAAAATACCACTCTTTGGGTTGCGCTCCCAAAGGGTTTGGGAAGGAGGCCGGCCACGGGTAGTTTAAGAAACCTCCCCCAGATGAGTCAAACATTAGAAGTCGAGTGACCCTAGATTTAAAATCGCGATTACAATGCAGGCTTGTCCGGCTGTCTCCTTACTGCACTCTGCTGGCACGTTACCTAAACGCCTTACAACCAGAAAACCGCTGGAGCTGGAAGAGCATCAGATCCTCTCCAAAGACCCCAAGAGGCGAAGGAGCTTCCAGGCCCACACGACAATACCTGGCAGGGACCAGAGCCCATTTCGCTCTCATCTGTTGAAATGAATGAACAATGTCTTATATTTTACCCTTATCTTAAATAGTCTCAAAGTAGGTACCAGATAATACAAATTTGTGGCTATTTCCAATACTGGAAATGACAGGTAGTAGTCAATAAAACTTACCTATTAGCTCTGCTCATTGAAGTTTCCAAATCCTGCCCTTTTAGGCACCTGGTTGGATTGGCACTTCTCTGACCCACTTGAAACACGCAGAAATAATACTTGTGAACTTCCCATCAGCGTAAAAGAGTATTATAGTATCTCTGCCAGCTGCCCTAAGGAGACGAAGCCATCATCTGGTGGCCAGGGTCTTACTGAGGCGAAGGTGAGCAACCCCCCTGCCAACCCACACTAGGACAAGTGGTAAAGGAGAGAAATAAACTTGAGATGTGTTAAATTAACTGAGATTTAGTGGGTGTGGCAGCATAACCTAGCCTATCCTGACCCCTAAGCAACTCGGGGGTTAGGAACACTGACCCCTGGGCATACAGAAAATCCACCTATAACTTTCAACTTTCCCCAAGCTTAGTTGTCCCTCAGTATCCATGGAGGGGAGGAAGATTGGTTCCAGGACCCCCGTGGATACAAAAATCCACAGACACTCAGGCCTCCTATGTAACATGGCCTAGATCACTGTGCACAGTCGGCCCTCTGCATCCGCAGACTCCCAGGAAGGAAAACGATGCAGGTGGATCCCCGAAGTTCAAACTCACACTGCTCAGGGGTCAGCTGTATGGCCTGGGTTTAATTCCAGGGTCTCCTCATTTGGAGTAAACTCTCGGCTTCTTTGCACCGCTCTTTTCTGAAAAAACGGGCGCGATACCAAACACATGGTCAAATCTTCTGTCTTAAAAATAAAATTTCCTCTGTTACAGGCCTCCCTCCAGCTGCCTCTCCTCTTCTCCATCACATACCTGTGCTTTCTTCAGAGAGTGGATTGCTAATCTTCCAACTCGTTTCTTGGACACCTCCTAAAAGCTTTAGGCAGAAACATGCAGGAAGGGTAGGAGTAGTCATTCCTTGCCGTAAAAATCATGAATGAGCTTTTCATTTACATCAGAAGTTGTATCATTCTTTCATCTTTATGAACTTGTATTTCCATTGCGCTTTCTCCACAGCACTGTATTCTAAGGTAATATATACATGGAAACCTTTTATCACATTCTAATCATTTTTATCACCTTGCAATAATTCTCAGAAGCAAAAATATGTAAACATTGAAATTTTAAATCTGTTTTACTTATGACAAAAGAGCTCTTGTTAAATTTTTCTTTCAGATCAGATTACCACTACAATTATTATTAGGTATCAATCAAAACAGAAACACATTGTAAATTTATATAAATAATTGTTAAACAAAAAGTAAAAATATTATTAGAATTATAGCTCTATGAGATGGATGGGCTGGTTCTTTTTCAAATGCATTTATCTGTGGATAAACAATAGTTTTTGTTCCCCAGTTTGAGATGTAATTGACATATAACATTGACATATAACCTTATGGTATATATCATGATGATTGGATATTGTATATATTGCAAAATGATTATCACAAAAAGGTTAGCAAAAACCTCCATCGCCTCATATAACTACCTTTGGGGAGGGGATGGGGGTAGTGTGAGGACATTGAAGCTACTCCTCATGCACTGGCTGGTGTGGCTCAGTGGATTGATTGCCAGCCTATGAATCCAAAAATCACTGGTTCAGTTCCCAGTCAGAGCACATTCCTGGGTTGTGGGCGAGACCCCCAGGTGAGGGCATGCAGGAGGCAACTAAACTGTTTTTCTCGCACATCCATGTTTCTCTCCCTCTTCTTCTCCCTTCTGGGGCTACAGATTTAACTTATTTACTTTATGCAAAAATTTGCCACATAACATGATTGGCAAGGCCAGTTCTCACAGTCAAACCAGTCTGTCAAATCAGACTCATTTTCTGTCAGAGTCTGACATCATTGTTAAATTCAAGTAAATTTTTTAACAAAGATTTTATTTATTCTCAGAGAGAGAGGGGAAGGAGAAAAAGAGGGAGAGAAACATCAATCAGTTGTCTCAGACCTGCAACCGAGGCATGTGCACTGACTGGGAATTGAACCTGCAGCCTTTGCTTTGGGGGCTGATGTCCAACCCACTGAGCCTCACCATCCAGGCTCAAGTAGGTGTGTTAATACACATCCCTGTGGCACTGGGTTCTAATGCTGTTAGGCGACAGTGGACGAGGTCCTTGAGTTTGTGCACTGAATGAAATAAGATGTAATTTCCTTAACATCTATCTACCCGTGTTTGCTTTGCTTTGCTCTCACTGGATTCTCTCAGAGATGAAGCATATTTTGTTGGGGGAAGGAAGAGTTGTTAAATATACATCATCCTTACTTCTACTCTGCTTTATAATATATGAATTCAAAACATCCAAACGTAAGCCAAAACAGCCGATTTTTAATGCCAAGCGTTGTCACCAATAAAAATCTGCAGAAATTAAAGGAATGTGATAAACCTTGATCTCGATGGCTTCGTTAAAGAAGGATTCGCTGGGATCTGATGATTGGGTGTGGCCCAGTTGGTTGGGCATGGCCCTGCAAGGCCAAAGGTTGCCAGTTCAATTCCCAATCAGGGTACATACCTAGGTTGTGGGTTTGGTCCCCAGTTGGAGCCCATATGAGAGGCAAACCATTGATATGTCTCTCTCACACTGATGTTTCTCGCCCTCTCTTCCCCCCTCCCTCTTTTTAAAAGCAAATAAATTTTTAAAAAATTTAAAAAGAAGGCTTCATTGACACTGTTAAGAGAATGAAAGGTTTGGGGGAAAATATTTGCACATCCCATGTCAATATTTGCACGTCCTAGGTCTGTCAAAGGATTGGTATCCAGTGTGTATAAAAACTCTCAAAACACAACAATAAGAAAGCATACCCTCCAATGAAAAACATGAGCAATGACACAAACCGTCACTTCTCCAAAGAAGGTATAAGGTTGGCAAATAAGCACATGGAAAGATATTCAACATCAGAGCCCCTAGGGAAATGCAAATGAAAACCATGGAGATAGCATGGTACACCCATTCGAACTGTTAAAGTTAAAAATACTGACAAGGCCAAGTGCTGGTGAAGATGGAAAGTAACTGAACTTTCATACATTGCTAGTGGACATGTGAAATGGTACAGCCTCTCTTAAAAACAGTTTGGCCATTTGTTATAAAGCTAAACATATATCTACCATGTGACCCAGCAATTCTAACCCTGGATATTGTCACATGTGTCAATAATTCCTTCCTTTTCATTGCTGAATACTACTCCATTGGGTAAATGAACTATGGTATATCCATACAATGGATTACTGCACAGCAAAAGAAATGAAAGCATTACTGATACATGCAATGACTTGGATGAATAGCAATCACATACAGAGTGAAAGAAGCTGGTCTCAGAAGATTACATATTGAATGATTTCCATCATATGACCTCCTCAACAATATAAGTCTGTACTGATAAAAAGAGGTGAGTGGTTGCCAGGGGGCAGGGGGTAGCTGTGTCTATAAAGAATGCAAGGGAGGTTTTGAAGTGATATAACTGGTCTTTGTTTCTATTGTTGTGGTCATTACATGAATCCACACATGTGTTGAATACTAAACTTTATATAACTGCAAAGAGTCCATTTCTACTATTTAATGTAAAAACTAAAATTGTTTAAAGTCTTAATTTTTACTAGTATCTCAGTTTGTGTCTTTCTTTGGCATTGCAATACTTTTTAAGCCTTAGAGCAAGGCACTCTACAACCAGATTTGGGATGAGTGAGAAGTGTTCCTTTCTTTTCTAAATAGGAGAAGGATGTGTAGGAAGGACAGGTGGGAAAGAAGAGCTGGTGTGCAGCCTCGGGCACAGGTCCACAATTGCACATCACTGTGCTGTTCTGGCTTTGCTGCAACGGCCTCCCGACTGGTCTGTGTTCTGCCTGTGCTTGACATCGCTGCACCTCCTCTCTCAAGTTCAAATCTCATTATGCGACTTTCCTGCTTAACGTCGTCAGTCCAAACGCCTGTAAATGGTGTATAAAGCCCTGCCCCATCTACTGCCAGTCTCTCCAATTGTGCTCTCTCTTTCACTCTCTCTTTTGTGTTTGGCTAATCGTTTCTCATTGTTATTGATCCTAAAAAAATCCACTTATGGCTTTGCTCATTTTCTGTGTTATTTGTCTGTTCTCTCTTTCATTGCTTCTGTTTTACTATTTCTTTCCTTTTATTTATATTGAATTTATTTTTCTCTCTTTTCTCAACCTTCTTAAAGTGAAATCTGAAGTCAAATGCTATCCCATAGAAATATAGAAGGTGGGGCAAAAGTAGGTTTATAGTTATTCATATAAAAATAATATAATTAATAAATTATAATACAAGAATAAATTTTGTCTTGTGTATCCATAACTGTAAACCTACTTTTGCCCCACCCTGTAATGTGCATCATACACGAAATTAAAAATTTTCAGTACCCATATCTCAAAAAGTAAAAAGAAACAAATAGTTAATTTATATTATAAATATATTGTATTCAACCAACATACCCAAATATTGTCAAATTTTTTAAAGACTTTATTTATTTCTTTTTAGAGAGGGGAAGGGAAGGAGAAAGAATGGAAGAGAAACATCAATGTGTGGTTGCCTCTCACATGCTCCCTACTGGGGACCTAGCCTGTAACCCAGGCATGTGCCCTGACTGGGAATCGAACAAGCGACTCTTTGATTTGCAGGCTGGCACTCAATCCACTGAGCCACACAAGCCAGGGTACAAATATTGTCATTTCTACATGTAGTCAATATAAAACATTTTAATGAGGTATTTACATTAAAGTTCTGCTGAGTCTTTGAAATCCGGTGCATGTTTTACCCTTACAACACACCTCAATTTGGATACTAAATTTTCATTGGAAATAGTTGATCTGCAATTAGATTTCATAAAGCTTATAGTTGAACAAGTAGGTTCACATACCCAAGTTGTTCCAAATATGGTAAAAGTTTTCCTATAATTGTCTTGGCTGGTGTGGCTCAGTGGATTGAGTATGAATCCAAGTTTTCCTATAATTGAGTCAATTGTCAAAAATTAATCTTTTAAACACAATTGCATTAACAAAACTTTATCATCTTTTGGGAAAAATGGATTTAACATTGCAGCAAAAGCTTATTGGTTTGAAACTGTGCCTGTTCGAGTTGAATAAATTCACTAACTCTAGTGTGAGCTCAGTCTTATTTCAAAGGTACAGTACCTAAAGTTAAAAGCAACATTTTTAAACAAGATTTTGTTTATTTTTAGAGAGAGGGGAGGAAGGAAGACAGAGAGAGAGAGAAACATCACTATTGGGAGAGACAGGTTGCCTCTCACAAGCCCCCAGCCAGGGACCCAGCCCACAACCCAGGCCTGTGCACTGACTGGGAATCTGAACCTGCGATCTTTTGGTTCACAGGCTGGTGCTCAGTCCACTGAGCCACACCAGCCAGGGCTAAAAGCAACTTTAACATCAATAAGCATTGTTCACATTTTTTTTGCAGTTTTTGTGGCCAACTTATATATTATTATTGAGTATAGTAATTAAACTTTCCTGCATATAAATTCATGTTAGAAAGATATATACAATTATTATTCATTTGTGTTATTAAGTGTTTTTGTTTCAATTACCTTTTTTTTTGGAGAGTACTTTTATTAAAGGTGGGGACAGTGAAACAAGGAAGGGCTTAGCACAGAAGAAGCTACAGGGGAGAGCCCAGGAGGGCCTGCTTTGGCTCAATGCAAAGTCAGAGGCAAGGGGGCCTTGGAGACAGGGTCAGGCTTAGCCCAAGACGAGCTGCCATAGCCCATTGCTCCCCTGGTTGTAAGTCTCCCGGGGTCCCTTAGAGTTTAGGAGATGCAAACCTGAGAGGGAAGAAGAGCGTAGGTGTGTTCCCAAGAGGGAGAACAAGCCTCAACATAAATGCTTCTAAAAGTTTAGCTAAGTCACGAATTAATGTTTCCTTTCCTTGGGGCTTCAAAATCAACTCATTCATACCCAGGGCAATATCAGAAAACACATAATCACATTGTCTTGTGTTTTTGGTTATTGAATATTTTGGAAGCATTCCTATAGTTTGAAGAAAATCTTGAGTTGAAATTAACAGTACAATAAATAATTGTAACTTGTCAAACTCAGCTGAAATCATCCGCGAAGAACATGAGATCACTAAACCGTTTTCTGTCTTTTTCAACAGCTTCATAAACGGGCAGGCCCCTGTGAAAAGCCCAAAAATGAGAACCTGCCCCAGGCCACTCCTTGCTTGCTGGTGGCAACTTTTCTCTAGTTTCTTCCTGCTTAGTTAGGTCTTTTCCAGGCCTTCAGTTAATTGTTTTGCTGTAGCCTGTACAGAGTTTCTGTTATCTGAAATGGTCGTTCCGAAGTAGCTACTCCACCATTATTGGAAGCAGACCCCCTCCAGTCTCATCTGTTCTTACTCTTCTCCCCAACGACCTGGACTCTGGCCATATCCAATTATTTAAAGTTTCCAGAACAGCCCTGGCTGGAGTGGGTCAATGGATTGAGTGCCTGCTTTACGCATCAAAAGGTTTGATTCCCAGTCTAGGGCACATGCCAGGATTATGGGTCAGGTCCCCAGTGGGGGACTCACAAGAGAAAAACCACACATTGATGCTTCTCTCCTCTTTCTCCCTCCCTGACTCTCTGTAAAAATAAATAAAATTAAGTTTCCAGAACAGGCTATGTTCTCTGTTGTCTATGGGCCTTTGTACACACTTCTTTCTTTTTCTTCCCCTACCCCAACCCAAGTATCTTCTACTCATTTTTTAGGGTTCAGCATAGATGTACGTTTTCTGGAGGCTTTATGAGACAGGCCTGACTCGAGTAACAGAAACTTCCTCGTACTAACAAGTCGAAGGGAGAAGAGGATTCAATGTAAAAGGAATCCTCTGGGCACCCGAAGGCAGAAATCCAGCCAGGCCTCCGCCAGGCACTGCATTTCACTGGGACTTCATCTCCATCCCTCGTCTCTGTTCTCTGCCCCTCGGAGCAGCTCCTGAGAGTCCCAGTTTCTCTCCAGTAGCTTTACTTCTCTTTCTTGAGGGCAGAGCTATGCCTTTATTTTCTCATCCTAAGAATTTAGTAGAATACAGCCAACAGAGCTCAGAGGAGTTTATAAAAAAAGGCAGACAAGTAAACTGACCTTTAATGCACCTTGGAAGTGTTGAAACATTTCCAAGATGTGTTAGGAGCCAGAGGAGGAAGCAGCCACTTCTCCATCTGAGCAGTCGGGAAGACTCAGAAATGACACCAGATGGCATTGCTTGTCCTCTGGGAGATTCAAGGAAAACACCACGAAAAGCAAAGAATCTCGTTAAAAAAACCTCCCGACCCTCTAGGTCTCTACCGAGATGAAGCGAGAACACCCAACGTCTTCCTACACAGCACTTGAAGAGAAAAAGAATCCTAAGCAGAGACCTTGAAGATCGATTTCTGTAACAGTTCAGCCAGATTTCTTCCAGTTCTCTTTCCCACCTTGGAGTCTTCACACATTTTCTTGCCTCAGTCTAGAATGTTTTCCTCTAAACCTTTCATCCTAAACCTTTTGACTCGCCTCTAAACAGCTTTAAGCTTTTGACTTCAACGTCACTTTCTGGAGAAGAAGGAGGTCCCCTCCTCCCCACAGTTAGGGTGAACCCTAGTGCCACAGGCTTCCCCTACTGCAGCCCGAGCTTCCCCTTTCTGAACACTCACCTCATTGTCCTGCCCTCCTGGGAAAGGTCTGCCTCCCCGCAGTCTGTAACCGGTGACAGCAGGGGCCACGTCATCGGGTTCCTGCCTCCTCCCAGGGCTTGGCACAGAGCCTGGCACCTTGGAGGTGCTCAGAAATACTCGTTGCTTCCATTGAACTTCAATAGTTACTACAGCTTCCTCGTTTAAAAGAAAAACAGCCAGGCACAGAGATGGGGAAGTGAGTTTTCCAGCAGGCTCGAGTTTGTGGCCGGACATGTGGGTTGAAGAGCTGTCTGCCCCGGGGTGCTGGGGAGCTGTGTCTTCTTGGCTGCCTTCTCTCCTTCCAGAATGATCAATGTGAACATTGGCTTTTTGTATTATCTAGACTTTTATTTCTTCTAAATTGTGCACAAAGATGGAACTCTCCCAGGTACATTTTTGATTCATGTAGGGGGAACACTGATTTTTAGTAGTGAAAAGGGGATGTGTGTGGTTTTTTTTTAAGATTTTATTTTTAGAGAGAGGGGGAGGGAGAAAGAGAGGGAGAGAAACATCAGTGTGTGGTTGCCTGTCACATACCCCCTACTGGGGGCCTGGCCCACAACCCAGGCATGAGCCCTGCCAGGAATCGAACCGGTGACCTTTTGGTTTGCAAGCCAGTGCTCAATCCACTGAGCCACACCAGCCAGGGCAGAAAAATAAATGTTTAAAAAATAAAAAAAAATCCACCCCCCCCAAGTTTTAAATTTGAACACTTAAATCTGTAGGAAGTTTGCATGAATAGGACAAGAGAGACCCATTTATACTTTCTCTAGATCAACAATTTCCAACTGATGTGCCAAAAGAAATTTAAAAACATGCAATGCTGTCTAAGCTGAATGTAGTGTGTTGTGGTCCCGAAGAGACCAAGGACAGCATCTTTCCTTCCGCAGGCCTTGCCTTTGCATGTTATACAAAGATGCTAGGTTACATTGATCAAATAAATAGATTTTATGTTATTAAAAAGTTTGGAAGCCAAAAAAAATACAATAAACCCCCCAAACCTGTACCACCTGACTACTGAGTCAGGGACACTGACCTCTTTCCCTTAGATGGTCAAATAAAAAATGACAACGGCTAATACAACAATAGCCATCTGGGCTGAATGAATCAAAATTATACGTATTTTTTTGTCAGATTGGCAAAAAAATACATTTTTGGTGTACCACAGAATTTTATGTGCACGGAGATGAACAAGTTTGAAAGTCACTGCTGTACATTCATCAGCTGCTCCTATTTTGCACAGAAACTGTCTCTTTCTCCCCCTGTATATATATGTGTGTTATATATATATATATATATATATATATATATATATTCCAGCTTCCATATGTGCTATATATATAGTGCATGCCTGTATATACTTTCTATATGTGTATGCTCTATACATATACATGAACGCATACACTTATTTTTTGCTGAACTATTCAAGAGTCAGTTGTGGGTAGAAAATTTTATTTTACCCTGACCACCTCAATACATATGACCTAAGAACAAGAGCGTTGGCCTACACAAATACAATACAATTATCATAGTCTTGCCATACTATTTGCTAATATACACCCATTCTCAAATTTATGTCCTTTATAGCTGTCTCGTAAAACCCCGGATCCAATCAAGAATCACAAATTGCCTGGTGTTGCTCTCTAGTGTCCTTCAGTCTCCAACAGTTCCCCCTACTTTATCTGTCACAACATGGACATTGTTTAGGAGTCCAGGCCAGTTATGTTGCAGAATTGTCCCTAACACAGACTTGTCTGACTGTTTCCTTATGGTTGGAGTCAGATTAAACTTTTTGGGGGGGGAAGCTGGACAAGCATGCCACTTGTGTGATACGGTGGAGTCCTTTCCGTTGCAGCACCTTCACTGAGGATGTCCTGAGCCTTGAGGTCCTTCTGTACCAGACCCCGCCCCCAGGGCTGGGCAGAGGTGAGGCCCAGGGAGCCGGTGGGTGAAGGCCAAACTTTCGCCTCGGCAGAGTCAACTGCCAGCGATGGCTGCCAACGGCAGGGCATTCCTGCTGCATAACCAAGGCCGAGCTGAGCACTCCTTCCCACTGAGAGCTCCCGTGGCTGGTGGCCAGCCCGTTGCTCAATCAGTGGGTCACCTGCCGCTGTGTCCACTCTCTGTTGATGCAGCTGCAAGGGGAAAAGAAGAGGGGTGAGGGGGTGGCCGTGCCAATGCAGTCCTACAGGAGGGAAGGGACAGCAGGGGATGGGGAACCGCAATTTTAAAAGGACTGAGAGGGAGAGAGGCAGAGGGGACATCGGGGAAGAGAAGAGCAGAGAGTGAGCCACAGAAACAGACAGACGCGGACGCACAGGCTGCCAGGGAAGGCGCCCGCCGACGAGCTTCAGGAACAGCTTCTGAGTCTGTTCCAGAGGCCCACTGGCCCTGAGATTTTGGAAAGTGAGGAGAGTTTGCATTTACATCAGTCAGACTCAAAGGGCACAAGGGTTTCTCCCAGGGGGCCGTGTAGGGTCACTTGCTCAGTCTGTACTTTTCCAAAACACAGAACTTCTCCTTAGGGCCCCAGAAGCCAGGCCCTGGGCCAGGAGGCTCCTGCTCTAGCTCAGAACGCCTCCCTTTTACTCACAGGGCTGTTGGCAGATGGAGAAGCCTACCCGGGGCATATCTGGAGTGAAGCGGGCAGCAGGAGGAGGGCAGACAGAAGGGAAGACCCAGAAAAAAGGGCCCTAAAATAGCTTTCCCTCTGTGAGTGGGGAGGAACCCCAGATCCTGGGAGCTGCCTGGCAGGTGTGACCTGAGCTAATGATAACAGGCTCTTTTTCCAGGAAAAGGGCCTTAGGGGAGGGGGCTGGCGGAGGCAGAGGCTGCTGGGGCCCTGGACTCAGCTGAGTGGAGAGGGCATCCAACCAGGCCCTGCCAGGGCAAACCTCCTCCAGATGCTGCTGGGGAAGGGCTCCTGAAAGAGGAACTTAGTGTGGACAGAGAGGGCTTTCCAGCAGCAGTGCACACTGTCCTCTCTTTCCTTTGGCAGGAAGAGAAGAAAATGGAAAAGCGTGGTCAGAAGCCATGACCGGGGAGTCAGGGCTCAGAGCTGAGCCCAGGAGAAGAAGCCCCTGCCTGCCCTCTGCCTTCGACCCGGAGAGCAGCCCCCAGACCCTGCATCTTACTGAGGAGGCTGAGGGGTGTCAAGGGACTGGAGAGCACATCCCGAAAACTCTCCAGCCACTCCTGCTGCTCCCTCTCGCTGGGGCAGGTGAAGACAAATCTGCGCTCGGGGGTGACCACGGTGATGCCCGCTTTCCAACGGTTCCCTCGGATGCCCTTGGGCAGGTCTTCATACACCTCGTACCCCTGCTCCTTGCTCCCGAGAAACACCTGGCCCAGCTCAAAGGCGTCCTGAAAGTAGAGGACACGTGGTCATCAGAAGCCACACCCAGGGCAGAGGGGCACCTGCGGCCTCAATGACCCCCTAGCTCTATTTTAGAAAGCGGTGCAGGGGTGGGGGGCATGTCCCTACTGGGGATTTCTACTAGGTGGGACCCAGGATTTGAAAGGCTGTGACTATACAAGAGATCACACTGTACACCAGGGGTTCAAGTGCTTTTCAGGTAGTAACTCATACAATCCTCATGGCAACCCCTCAGGAAGGCATCGTCATTAAGCCTATTTTTCTTTTTTTAAAAATATATTTTATTGATTATGCCACTACAGCTGTCCTATTTCCCCCCTTCATTTCCCTGCTCACCCCTCCCCCCGCTCCCTCCCCTTTAGTTTATGATCACATGTCTCAAGTTCTTTAGATTCTATATTTCCCCTACTATTCTTGCCCTCCCCCCTGTCTATTTTCTACCTACCACTTATGCTACCTATTCTCTGTACCTTCTCCCCCCTTCTCCTCCTCCCAATTCCCTGTTGCTAACCCTCCATGTGATCTTCATTTCTATGGTTCCACTCCTGATCTAGCTGATCTCTTAGTTTGCTTTTGTTTTAGGTGTGGTTGTTAATATTTTACGGAGGAGGAAACTGAGGCACAGAGAGCTCAGTACTCTGTCTGGGGCACAGCACTGAAAGCAACAGGGCTGAACCCAGAGCCCACACAGCTGAGTTCTAGAACCCACACTCCTAACCACTACACTTCCCAGCCTTCTGCTTAGAACTGGAGACTAGAGGACAAGAAACAAACTATTGAACTACATTCTGGATATACACAAAGGCCTTCCTGCAGGTGACAGGAGAGGTAACCTGACGCCCAGGAGACACCTTAGAGACAAGCAAAGGTGGAACTCGCGTCCCCTGCCAGGACTCCCCAGCCCTGTGGCTTCACCACAGTCCCTGACTGGCCTCACCTCCATCTCAGAGTGAACTGGGGAGGGGCCGGCAGTGGCTCTTACCAGTGGGTGCTTATAGTAGAGCAGTCTCCGTTCCTGGGCGTCCAGGGCAAACCACCTCTTCTTGAAGGGTTCTCTCTGCTGTGAAAGAGGGAACCTTGTACCAGAGTTGGCTAAGCAGGGGAGCACAGGGTCAGAGGGCTGGCCTCCACTAGCCCAGGAAACAGGCCAGTCCCTGGGTAGTCACCCCAGGGCGCCTCCCTGAGGCCCTGGAGTTCTGAAGGCCCTGCCTGCCTCCTCACTGCTGCCAGCTTCACCCTGCTGCCTTCAGGTGCGGCTGCGGGTGGGAAGAGGCCCTTTCCTCTTTCTTAGACTGTGCGCAAGAAGTCTCAGAAAAAGGAAGCTGGGGATCTATCAGAAATGGCTCCTGCTCAGCAATGCCGAGAGCACTGGCCTGGGCCAAAGTCTAACCTAGGTCAGGGCAAAGAAAGCCTGTGAGCAAGAATCTCGGGACGGGTGTGCCCTGGCTGCTGAAAGAAGGAGGCAAAGCCTGCAAGCCTTTGACTAGTTTTCAAGCTGAGGCTTCCTTTCACAGTGATTGCTAACACTGATTGCTGCCTTTCCCGGTAGTCTTGACAACCATCCTGGCAACACGTTACACCTTTAACAAAAGCGCACTGAGATGCTGCCACTTTGGGCATCGTTTTAGGGAGCTCCCTCTTCCTTTCCCTTCCTTTTCTCCTCCCCCCTCCTCCCCTTCCTCTTCCACGACTATGGCACCCTCTCCAGCCAGACTTCTGACGTGGAGCCTTGCCCCTGACCCCCTAATACCCAGGCTGGGTCCGAAATGCCCTCGGGCAGCAGGAGCCCTCACCCCACGCCCCCCCCCATCCTCCGTGGGAGACACAGAAGCAACCAGGCTCCCTTGCCTTCATAGATAAGTGGGCGTAGCAGCCCCTGAAGGGCCAGGATGGGTTTAGCAAATGAGAGCAGAGACTGAGTTTGTGCTGGGGAGGGGCGTGCCCACGTGGACACCCAAGATGGGGGTATAGGTATGTTTTTGCAGACTAATCTCTAGCCCCTGACTCACGTGGACGGTCCCAGTGGGACCCCAGGCCAGTGCACACAGTTCTGGAAAAGGCAAAAGCCAATCCCCAAGGAGTCCCTCTCTGCCAGGCTTTCCCGGGAGTTAGGAGGAAAGAAGCGGGTGGTGGTGTGGATAAGGAGGGAGGATGCCAATGAGAGGGAGGGGCACCTGCAGCCACACGGGCCAGCTAAGCACTGGGTCCTGGACCCCAGGACCTCACACATCGGTTTACTTCCTGTTCCTCATTGTCCCACCTCCCAAGCCCTGCCCTACTTCCCGCTGGGACAGGGGTCATGGAAATGCCCTGAGAACCAGCAGAATGTACCTTCGGACCAGTCTTTTCCATGAAGCCTTGTTTGAGGTAGTTCCTGGTGATGAGGGGCACGAGCTGGGGGAAGAGAGACATACACTGAGCCCCTGACTCACACCCCAGGGGTTCAGGGCTCCCCACTGAACTTGGCTTCCCCCAAAAGGGGAAGTGTGGAATGGGGAAGGATGCATACTCACGGTTCACGGGGTTATATTTGGAATGTGGTATGGATGCAACTTAATATTTCAACAGAGGCAGATGACAGCACCCGGATGTTTGCAGGGTTTCCCAGCACACCCGAGTCTTGGGTTAAGGACTTAGTTTAAGGAATGCTTCCAGCTTTCAGGTCTCCCGTAGGTCTACCGTGTATCAGGCCCCACGAGGTGGTGGGTTTTACCATCCTCACCGAATGGTACAATGTCAAGTATATTCCCAAGGTCACATTGCTGGTGGGATGGAGCTCTGGGATTCACGCTTAGGGCTGGCAGACACAGGACAGACACTAGTGGTCCTCCCACCACTACAGGCTAATGCATAAACATGCCTCCCCTTGGGCCCCTGGCAAGACCTGGCCACTGGTGGGGTTGCTGACACAGGACCCCAAGGTCCTGTGGGAGGAGGAGACAGCAGAAGGAAGGTAGGGAAAGCTCTGCACCAGGAGTTCTAGCTCCAGTTCTGACCTCAGCTAGCTGTATTCCCTTGATCACACCTTTCGCCTCTCTGAGCCTGTTTCCATGGATGACTTGACCTCCAGGGTCCCTTCCAGCTCACCATCCTATCCCCAGAGAGGCTTCCAGGGACTGGTGCTGGCCTCCTGTGCTCCAGGGGGTCGACCAGCCAAGCCTAGAGCTGCCAATGACAGCCCAGCCTCGTCAGAGCAGCAGGTGAGCTCCAGGGTCCCGGGGCCCAGGGCGGAGGCAAAGGGGAAGCCAGGTCTGGGGAATAGGAGTGGGAAGTCCGAAAGGGGGGACACTGGTGCGCCAAAGCCGAAAATGCAAACTGTGCTGCTCCCCTCGCCCTAAAGCATGTTCTGTAGGCTCCAACACCATCATTTGGAGAAAAAAGAGTCCCCACTGCTCAACAGTCTGACCCGAGCCAAGGCAGGGCTGGGCCAGGCCCAGGGAGATGACTGGGAGAAGAAAAAGCACGAGGGTGCAGCACTGTTCATTGTGCCTCAGCTGCCTTGTTTTCTACAATAGCCCCAAAAATTACAGAAGGTATGCACTGTCGCCTTGGCAACAGATGAGCAAACTGAAGCTCAGAGAGGTGAGGTGACTTTCCCTAGGTAACACATCAGCTTCTCCGGCTGCAGAGTCCATTTGTTCCTTAGCTCAGGAACACTGCACCCCACTTCCCAGTGCACCCCACCACTACCAGGGCTCCCTGGGTTTCTGGCACCTGGATCCCTAAGCTTGAACCAGACCTGAGTAATTGCCCAGGACCTCACATAGACAGAAAAGCAGGAAGGACCAAGGAGAGAGGCCAGCAGGGAGGAGACTGGGGGTAGAGGAGGGGTAACGATGGCAGATGAGGGAGGCAAGAGGACAGTGAGGATGTTGGCCGAGGACCAATTTCCTCTGCAGGGGTCAGCAAGTTGGAGAGCCGGCCCAGATAACCCGCTGAGCATCTGCACTTTGCCCTCCTGTCCTCTCTAGTCAGCAGTCAGCACTCCCCACCCCCGCCCCCTGGAACGCGCCTTCACCAGCCCTGGGTGCTGACTCTGCAGACTGCAGCACCCTGCCCCAGCCCGGCTGGGACCACGTTCCCAGAGGTGCTGTCTCCGTGCACCACTGGCCTGCAGTGGCCCCATCCAGGCACTTGGCTGCCTGCAAACTTCGGAAGGAAGGAGCATGCAGGCTTCTGAGGAGGACCTAACAATTTGGAGTAAGACAGTCCCAGGATTAACATGGTCTCTCCACCCCCATCACTTACAAAATCCTCTTAGAGTAGGACCTAAAACAGTCACCAGATCGTAGCACCTCAAAGCTGTAAGGGACCCTGAGGATGACCCAGATCAACCACCACCTTACAGATCTGGAAACATGTGCAGAGAGGTGATGTGACCTGAGCTGGTCACACGGCACATTAACAACAGAGCATCCACAAGAGCCCAGGCCTCCTGGCTTGAGGCAGCATCCTTTGCCCGACCCTGTTGGCTTCCCCAGCCAAGCCAAGCCTGAGAGATGTATGTGGATGCCCCCGCCATCTGAAGACAATGACCATGACGTTCCCAGGCTCAGCACTACCTGGGCCATGAAAGGCAGGCTGTTCCTGCTAGAACTGTAAGGGGGAAGGTCCTACTGCCTTCACAAGACCAGAATCCAAAAGGGCAAAGGTGTGTGTGGTGGGGGTGGGAGCAGGAAAACCGCCGCTGGTTATCCACTTGACCTTCCTGGGACTCAGTTTCTCATCAGCAAAATGGGAATAATCAATGCACCTAACTGCCTGCTACAGGATTGCGAGCTAAAAGGAATTACGAGATAAAACGGGCTCTAAAGCACTTTGTAAGCAGCGTGGTAAAAATTATTTGTACCTTTTAGAGGGGGAATAGGTCAGGAAAAAATGCCCAAATCCTGAGCCTTTTGACATGGTGGGTGATGCCAGGCACCCCAAAGGGGAGAGCCTTACCTGCCTTTTGGGGACCACCTTGTCGTGTGTGAGGCCACAGTCCCCCAGCCTCCCCAGGAGCAAGCCTTTGGTTTCCCTCTGAAGCACCCAACCCCCAGTTTCAAGGTCTTGCCTACAAACCAACCTAACCTGGCCTCTGAGTGTCTTCGAGGTCAGCAGACAAGGAGAGGAGGTGCAGAGAGAAGACCCGGAAGCTGGAGTCCACTTTTAGCTCACCTCAGGCTCTGGGAGCTCAGGAAAGGCCATTTTTAGGTATTGCAGACGGGCTGCGCGGAGGGCGTTGAACCAGTCCACTATCTCCTGCAGAGACAAACACAAAGGACACACGGACAGCCAGTCAGATGGGTGGGGGAACCGAGAGCGACAGCAGGAAGCCGGCTGCGTCTTTAGGTCTGGGCACACACACTCAGCACATGCACACGTCCCAGTGCCACTCAGGGGCCTATGGGCTGACCACAGGCATCTGGGGGGCCAAGGCCAGAGCCCGAGGGTGAGGCCCACCTGAGCAGGTGGGAAGCCACTGACAGGGAGACCCCAGAGTCACGGGGAAGGACCAAGGTAAACTGCATGGGAGTTACGCAGTGGCCTAGGACAGCCCTTGACCTTTGCTCCCGGGTGCATGAACCACCTGAGGATCTTGTTACAATGCAAATATGGGCCCTGGCTGGTGTAGCTCAGTGGACTGAGCGCAGGCCTGCAAACCAAACCACCGCGGTTTGATTCCCAGTCAGGGCACATGCCTGGGTTGCAGGCCAGTTCCCAGCAGGGGACACACAAGAGGCAACCATACATTGATATTTTTCTCCCTCTCTCCTTTCTTTCCCCTCTACAGACAAATAAATAAAATCTTAAAAAACAATGCAAATATGGATTCAGTGGGTGTGGGGTGGAGCCTGAGATTCTGCATTCCTGACAATCTCTCAGAAGATGTGATGCTGTCAGCAGGACACACTTGATGTCAGAGACCGGTTTTCAGGTGGGGGCACGTGCACCTGGGGATGCTTCTCCAGTGGGGCTGCTCCCTGCCTGCAGTGCAACCTAGGCCACAGCTGACAGCACCTTCTACTGTGGGGAGAATGCAGCCCTGGCGGCCTGGGTTACCACCACCTCCCGGCAGGTGAACAGCTGCTCTAGCTGGCTCTGCCTCCATTTGTCTGTCCAGGTGGTCCCCACGCCCCTGCCCCTCCTAGGGTCCAAGTGATCTTCTGCTTGCAAATTAGAGAATCTAAGCTCTTCAGTAGGACTTACTCTGTCCTCTGAGCTCCTTCAATACAAGGCCATTTGCCATCCCACACATGCTCCCCCCTCCCAGAACTATGCTTCACCCACCTCGCTCCCCTGACCCCACACATACCTGTTACCTAGAACATCCTCCTCATCCCGAAGGTTAGTTTAGATGTTGTAATAGGTTTTTGTAGCCCAAGCTCTGCTTCCATGAGAACTGCCCCCACGCATTCTCACCCACCCACCATGCACCCACAGCTGCAGCCCCATGGGCTGCTATTATCCCGCCCCTTCCTGGCCACAGCAACTGGACCGTGGCTGAACCAGTACAGAGGCTGGACTGGGCTTATCAGATTCTTTCTCCCAGGAATTTGGAGGAAGAAAGACTTGTTCAAATAGCTGTAGTGTTGCACTTTGATGTAACCTGGTGATTGAGAAGCTCATCTGGATGTGGTTTAGAAGGAATGAAACATAGTAACCCTTTGTCTCTCCCAGGCTGGGCGTGCAGGCCTGGTGTTCCGAGTGGTGAGCTCTCCTGTGCTGGGAGTTAAGAACCTTCTTGCGTCCCAGGCACTAACAGAATGGGGCCGTCCCTGGGAGACCCTGGGAAGGCCCTCACTTTGCAGGTCTCTCCAGTCACAAGCCGGTATGACCTTGGGACCAACTCCAAACTGCATGCACATTTGTCTGGCTCCTGAAGTTTTGTTTGTTTGTTTCATCCTCTATACAGATTTTTCCTCTTTGCCACAGCCTTACAGCTGTCTACTTTGAGATCACCTACCCTAGTGAATGCGCACTGTCCAGACACACCCATTGCATGTGCCAGGTTCCTCTCCCTGATCTCGCTCTGCCTTCCTCACACCTCTGTCCCTGACCAGAAAGTGGCAGCAGGTGTAGGCAAACAGGAGCTGCACGTCTCAAGCGGCAGGGACTGGTGAACTGGGCCTGCAGAGCCCCGGTGCTGAGCTGGGGCCGACGTCTCACCTTGCCGCTCTCGTGATACACAAACAGGTTCCTAATGTGGCCCTCTCTCTGGTAGGTGATCTGCAGCCCATGGGGGTTCCCTATCTTCTCCGTCTGGAAGGTGGCATTCAAGTCCTTGATGTTGATGACAGCCTTGGGGCCTTTACCCTGGAAGAGAGAAAATGGATACTCAGGATGCCAGGGCGATTTCTTATCACCCTCACCAAGGTCTTAGTGCAGACAGAAAACCAGTTTGTAACTTTTCATGTGTTTTAAATGTTCGTGCTCTGATATCAAGACACACGGATGCCTGACCCGGTGCGGCCCAGTAGGCTGGGCATTGTCCTGCAAACTGAAAGGTCAGTGGTTCGGTTCCCAGTCAGGGCAGGTGCCTGGGTTGCAGGCCAGGTCCCTGGTCCGGGGCATGTGAGAATCAATCAATATTTCTCTTGCACATCGATGTTTCTCTCCCTCTCTTTCTCCCTCCCTTCCCCTATTTCTACAACTAAACAAATAAAATCTGTATTTAAAAAAAAGACAGATATTGTACTCTGCCCTGTATTCAGCCATCCTATCCTGCCATTCCTGCTTAATCAGATTGGCCTCTTTCAGCTGGAACGGGGCTCAGGAAGCCTTAACTCAGGACTCTGCAAGCTTTGTAGCCGTAGCACTTTTTCTGAACCAAATCAACAAAATAAAGCACATAAAAGCAGATGTGGCGTGCTCTCTGTTCTCAGGGGTCTGGAACACCGTTCAATCACTGATGAATGCTGAGAAAAGAAGAGAAAAAAATGCTTCCCTTCGTAACTGATGAGAGAGAAAAATTATACAAGCACTGTAGAGCTGCGTTAGCCATTAACCCATGTGGCTATTAAAGTTGAAATTCAGTGAAGATAAAACTTCGGTTCCTTACTCAGCCCCATTTCAAGTGCTGAAGGAAACCTGGAGACTGGTGGCTGGGGTGTGGAATGGGGCAGAGAAAGAACATTCTCACTGCTGGAGAAAGGTCTGTTGGCTGCCTTTTCTAGAGGGGAATTTGCTCATATTTATAAAACATTAAGTATTTTGCTGTGACTCACAATTTTGCATCTGAGGATCCGAGGAAGTAATTGTGTTACTTCACAAACACGTATGTGAAAAGATGCTTATTGCTGTGTTGCTTATAATAGTAAAAAAAGGAAATTATTTAAATGTCCATTAGTGATAATGAGTTAAATTAATAAATCATGTTTACACAATGAAATACAACAAATTTTTTAAAAGAATAATTTACAGCACATCAGTATTACTAATATGAACAAATGCCCATGATAGTCATGAAAAATACCAAGTCCCAGAAAGGATCTATAGTAGGAACCTACTAAAACAAAAATTATACACACACAGAGAGGAAAATATGTATATATACAGTATATAATGTATATGTGATATATATTCATATGTAGTATATATTGTATATACATAGTATATACGTATATTACACACATATATTTACATATACAACCTATATGTATGAATATGCATAAAAAGTATAGACAGATTTATACTAACACACTTTTTCTTTAATTTTTATTTATTGATTTGAGAGAGAGAGACATCAGTTTGTTGTCCCACTGATCGATGCATTTATCGTTTGATTCCTGTACGTGCCCTGACCGGAGATCGAACCCGCGACCTTGGAGAATCAGGAGGACCCTCCAACCCACTGAGCACCCGGCCAGGGCCCTACACTAACAACACCCTTAACAATGGCCTTCTTGAAAGATTACTGGAAGACTTTTCTTTAAAAATATTTAATGTGAAAAATACTAAAAAAATTAAAATTCATCTAACTTTGTCAGTATTGTTCCTTTTATTAAAAGAAATACGACACCACCCTGGCCAGTGTGGCTCAGTTGGCTGGGCCTCATCCTGCAGACTGAAAGGTCGCAGGTTCCATTCCTGGTCAGGGCACCTGCCCAGGTTGCAGGTTTGGTCCCAGGTTGGGGCTCATAAGAGAGGGAACTGATCAGTGTTTCTCTCTTTCTCTCTCTCTCCCTCCCTCCCCCTTGCTCTAAAAGTGAAAATTTTAAATGTCCATATTTTAAAAAGAAATATGACATCACTAACAGAGCCAAATCTCCCCACTATTACTCATCCCGCCCCTTTCTCGCCCTCCACTCCCGCAGCCAATCGTTGTCCTGAGTTTGACGTTTGTTCTTCCTGTTCACTTTTTCTGCTTTTACACACACATTCCCGCAACTGCAAACAACAGGTGGAGTTGGTTTAGGAGGGGCTTTAGTTCACATAAACGGGATCGTGCTACACGGGTCATTCTATGTCTTGGATTTATCACTCAACATAATATATTTTAGTTCTATTCCTGTGGTTTTGATATTTTTTCTTTTCTTTTTTTTAATTGTTGTTCAAATACAGGTGTCTCCATTTTTCATGTTGAGGTAGACCAACCTAGTTTGCTTCTGTAAATGACTACACCAGAAGTCATCAACTTTTGCTGCTGACGGACAGAGATTGCTTTTTATTTCTTGCTGCAGCCTTGCACACATATCTGAGCATTTTTCTAGGTCACAGTGTATACTCAGGAATGGAATCGTTAGGTCACAAGTGCATATACCTTTGACTTACTGGAAACTGCCAAGTGATTTTGCTGAATGGCTCTCCACAGTAGCTGTGCCAATATTTATATCCATAGCCTTGGCCGGTGTGGCTCGGCTGGTTGGAGCATCATCCCGCGAACCAAAAGGCCGCAGATTTGATTCTCGGTCAGGGCACCTGCCTAGGCTTGGTGTTTGGTCTCCTGTCAGAGCGCATACGAGAGGGAACCAATAGGTGCTTCTCTCTCTCTCTCTTCCCCGTCCCTAGGATCAGTGAATGGCTCCTCAAGCAAGGATTTTCAAAACTTTTACACCCATAAATGACATTGAAGCATTCCCCTTGTCCCCTCTCCTCACCAATACTTGACAGAGCAAATTTTTAACATTTTTGCAGATAGGATGGGTTTGAAATTGGATCTCACTGTTTTCATTGAATCAACTACATTGAGGTATAACTGATAAACAATAAGTGGTACTCATTTTAAGAGTAAAGTTTGATTTGTGACGAGCATATATGATCATGTAACCAACACCCCAAACGAGGTATGGAACATCACTCTCACCCCAAAAAAGTTCCTTCCTGGCCCTTTGCAGCCAAGCCCACCCACCCCACCCCACCCAGGCAGCCACTCATGTCCCTTCCATTGGCACAGAGCAGTCTTGCTCGCTGCAGAATTTCACATACAAGGAATTACATAGCACACATCCTTGTGAAAGGCTTCTTTTGCTCAGAGTAATATTTTTCAGATTAATCTACATCACTGTACTTTTAGTACTCTGTCCCTTGTTATTGCTGAGTAATATTCCATTCGATGGATGTACTACATGCAGTTTGTTTATTCATCCAGCTGTGGATGGACATTTGGGTTCTTTCCAGGTTTTGACTATTACAAGTAAAGCTTCTATGAACATTTGTGCATATAAATCTTAAATTTTTTTTTTTATTTACTGATTTTTAGAAAGAGAGAGAGAGGGAGGGAGGGTGAGATTTGCTATTCCCTTACCAGTGCCCTGCATGTGCCCTGGTGGGGAATGGAACCCGCAGCCTCAGTGTGGCGGAGCGACACACTGACCAACTGACCACCTGGCCAGGGCCAAATTGCTTGTGGACGTGTTTTTGTTCCTCTCCAGTAAGTACTGAGGAGTGGGATGGCTGGGTTATGTGGTTAGGTGTATATTTAACTGTATTAAAAATTGCCAAGTTGTGCCCTGGCTGGTGTGGCTCAGGGGGTTGAGTACCAGCCTGCACCAGAAGGTCACCAGTTCCATTCCTTCTCAAGGCACATGCCCGGGTTGAGGGCCAGGTCCCCAGTTGGGGGCATGTGAGAGGCAACGGATCGAAGCTTCTCTCCCTCGCTTTCTCCATCCCTTCCCCTCTCTCTAGAAATAAATAAATTAAATCTTTAAAAAGTCTTCCAGATAGTTTTCCAACGAAGTTGTATTATTTCAGGTCCCACCAGCAATGCGTGAGAGTTTCAGTTTCCCGACATCCTTGCCGACAGCTGGTGGTGCCGCCTTTTAAACTTTAGCTGCATGGTGAGTGCGCAGCGCATCTCAGTGAGGTTTTAAGCTGCATCCCCCGACTGCCAGAGACACTGAGCGTCTCTCCTTTTCCTTAGCAGGCCTTTTGGCTTTCTTTTCTCTGAACTGCCAGTCCATTTCCTTTGCCATTTTTCTAATGGATTGGTTTTTTTTCTTTCTTGATTTGTAGGGGTTTTTTTGGTGTGTGTTCTGGGTATTAACATTGTGTCATGCTGAGATATCTTCTGAGTCTCACTTTCTTTATCCTTTAGTTACTTTTTTTGTATTACCCCAAGTTTTTACACAGAAGTGAGTTACTTTCATAATTTAAAACATTTCCCTTTTGGGCGCTGCCTGGGTGGCTCAGTTGGCTGGAGCTCAGGCCTGCACACCAAAAGGTTGCGGGTTCGACCCTGGGCTGGGTCAGGGCACAGATCTAGGTCACCGTTGGGGTACAGATGGGAGGCAACCAATGGATGTTTCTCACACTGGTATTTCTCTCTTTCTCTCTTCCTCTCTAAAATCAATAAACATATCCTTGGGTAAGGATTTTTTTTTAATTTCCCTTTTGGGAAAGAAGTAAAAAAGAACAAAGGCAACTCATGTTATTTTTAGACTGTTTTAGACTGAACTGGCTGAGGACTGAGAAACAAATCAACTTTTCCCAACCAAGGAGAGATGCTCTTCGGGACCTGCTCCCAGCGGCTGCTGGGGTTCAGTGGCCCCTCCTGACTCACAGCACTAGTTTCTCTTCCCGCCTCTTGTGCCTGCAACAGTTTCCAGTGCTCTACATTGCGGATTGAGAAGAAATCCCTGCTCTCACTCGGAGGATCAATACTCTTCACCCCCGTCGTCATTCACTCAGCCCTAGATGGCCACCACGGGGGACAGGCCGTCCGGCATTGCACTGGTCTGTCCACGAAAGCAACAGGGGAAATGCCCAGTGACTTCTACATGCAGGAAACAGAGTGGGGTGAAGACTCAAGTGCTCAGAGCTCATCCTGCTCTTACTCTGTTGGCCACTCCTTCACACTCTCCCTGCTGGAAATGTCTCCTCTTTCTGTCCTCTAAATACTGGGTTGTTTCAGGGCTCAGGGTGGGAAATAACCCCCAAATAGGACCCTTACTGACTCCTTCCTTCCCAGGGTGCCCACGCCACTCTACCCATCAAGAGGAGAATCAATATCCCCTCCCCTTGAACTGGGGCCGCTGCATGACTTGCTTTGGCCAACAGAAGCCAGTTCCTGGACCAGCCTATAAGCACAGGAGCACCCCCGTTTGCTACAGGGAAGACAGACACCAGGCTGTAAAGAAGCTCAGGCTGGACTCCTGAGTGAGAAACAACCACACAGAGAGACAGAGGCCCCACAGGGCAACCAAAGCACCAGGCGAGGGGGTGCAGGCTTCCTGGGCCTGGTAGCCCAGCCCAACTGCCAGCTACATGCAGCAGGGCCAGGGCCCCAGCGGAGCCACAGGGAGGGCACCGGAGCAGCCATGGCCTGCCCGAATTCCTGACCCACAGGTCTGTGGGAAATAATAAGTGGACACTTTAAGCTTCTAAGTTGTATGGTGGTTTTGTCACTCAGCAACAGATAACTAACATACCCAGTCCTCAGACGTCTTTCCCCACCCACCTGCACTGCTGCCTGGGTGATCCTGGCCCCACACCTGGCTACACCAGGTTCCAGGCTGCTGACTCCAGCTGCACACTCTCCCCAAAGCTCAGACTCCTCTGTCCCCCTCCTCTCTCAGCCTCTCCACTGTTATTGAGCGAGTGAGTGATGAGCGAGTGAGCATCTCAAATGGAAAAGGGCTCTTCGTCATCCCCTCAGGGAGCTAAGTCTTTGCCATTGCATCTAGCGGCAAATCTATCCTTGTAAGGGTACGGGGTACAAATCTGGGAGTCGTCCTTGATGCCTCTTACTTCCACCCCCCACATCCAGTCCAGTAAATCCTATTGGCTCTACTTCCAAAATATATGCAGAATGTGACCACTGCTAACCGCCTGGTCCGTCACCATCCTGGTCTAACCCATCATTCCTCCCTTGAGTTATTGCAGTAGCTTCCTCACTGGTTTTCCGAGTTCACTCCTGTCTCCTTCCTGCCCCAACCTCACCCAGCAGGGGCTAACGTGCCCCTTTCAAAAAGTTTAAGTCAAATTCGATCACTTCTTTGCTCAAAACCCTCCTGTGGCTTCCCCCTCAGAGTAAAACACAAAAGCCTAAATTTTTAGTAAACCATACATCCAATAAAGAACTTATATCCAGAACAAAGAGCTATTACAACTCAATAATAAAAAGGCAAATGACCTAATTAAAATAGGGGGAAAGGATCTGAATGGATGTGTCTATAAAGAAGAAATGGCCAACAAGCAGATGAAAAACAAATGCTCAACATCATTAGCCATCAAGTAAACATAAATCAAAATCGCAATGAGATCCTACATTACACCCACTAAAAAGACACAATAATAATTGTTGGTGAAGATGTGGAGAAATCGGAGCCTTCATACCTTGCTGGTGGGAATATAAAATGAAGCAGTCACTTTGGAAAACTGTGTGGCAATTCCTCAAAAAATTAAACATAGTTACCACATGATCCGGCAAGTCTACTCCTGAGTTTGTACCTAAGAAAAATGAAAAGATGTGTCCACACGAACACTTGTGTGTGAACGTTCACGACAACATTATTCATACTTGTCAAAAAGTGGAAATAGTCCAAATGTCCGCCCACTGATGAATGCGCAGATGAAGTGTGAGGGATCCTACAGTGGAATAGACAGGAACTCGGTACTGACACGTTACCAGCGTCAGAACGAACCTCAGAAACGTAACGCTAAATGAAAGAAGTCTGTTACAAAAGACCACATATTGCGTGATTCCATTTATAGGAAATGTCCAGAGAGTTGAATCTACAGGGACAGAAAGTAGATTAGTGGTTGCCTAGCACTAAGGGGTGGGGTGAAATGAAGGACTGCAGTTAGCTCACTGGTGTGAGGTTTCTTTTTGTGGTTACAAAAATGTTCTAAAATAGGTTGTAGTGATAGTTGCACAGTTCTGTAAATTACTAAAAGCCACTAACTGTACACTTTAAATGGGTCAATTGTATGGTATGTGAATTTATGTCTCAATAAACTGTTCCAGAAAAAAAACACAAGTCTTCCTGTGGCCAGCTTGGTCCTTCACTGGGTGAGCTCACCTCCCCCCACCCTTTCCTTGCCTGGTGACTCTGCCCAACTTGATGCCCTGAACACCCACCAAACCCTCGTTCGTAGCTCAGGCCGGGGCTGCGGCACACGGTGAGCAGTGTGCACAGAGCAAGAACACCGCCACTGAGCATGCATGTGAGAACTGGAATCCAGGCTTCTGCTTGTCTAGATGGGGACCCTGGGGGCTGTACCCCCTCAGAAGGGTCATCATTTCTAATCAGCACACAGGTGGATGTGCCGGTCGGGACCCACTCAGGGCTTCCGTAGGTGCTGTTCCCATGACCTCCTTTCCCCACGCAGCTGTATAACTCACTCACACTTCTGGGTCCTCTGCCCCGATGGCATCAGGGAGGCCTTCCCCGACCACCGTGCGCTTGCACCCCGGCAACCACACTCCCAGCACCCTTTGGTTTTACTTCTCAGAACTCACTGACACCTGATATGTCACCTACTGATGCAGGTTTTGATGACCACCGGTCTCCTGCCACTAGCAGGAAAGCTCCAAGAGAATGGGAGTTTGGTTTAGTTCACTGCTGCACGCCCAGTGCCTATAATAATGTTAGCATGTAGTAGGTGCTCAATAAATATGTCCTGACTGTATGAAGAAATGAAGTAGAACCAAGTGATCGTCAAAGGCTTCATTCATCACGACCAGACTAAGCCCATTCTCAGTGAACAGAGGGTGTGTTTTCAGTGGACTGGGTTGACTGTGTAACCCCGGAAAACAGGATGTGGTGCCTGACCCCCAGGAGCTGAGATCCCCCATAAGACAAGGCACCACTGATTGAAATGCAGACCTGAGCAGGGTGACAGCCCAGTGCCCAGGGAGGAGACCCCTCACCGGTCCGGCCTCTTACCTCTTCTTTAGTGTAGTACTTCAGAAGGCCTTCTCTGGCCGAGAGGACAAATCTCCTTCTCAGGAACTGCGCATTGTCCTTCCCCCGCTTCCACAGGAACCCTTCCCGGTTACCTTTGCCACCAAGGAATGAGACGGAGTGAACACCCACGGCCTTGAGACAAACAAGCAGCTCGCAAGATTTGTAGGGTCTCGGACTAAAAATAACCGCCCGCCTGCTGCTCAAACGTCTTGAATTTAACTTAGGTATTACAGGTGCAGGGCACGGGGGTCCTACCTGGGCTACATTTGCAACATGTTAGGATTTCAGTTGGACTCCTCCCAACTTTTCTTCTTTGGCTATTTCTTAAGAAAACACAGTGAATGCTTACGTAGGCTGAGTACTGAGAAACTGTACTGGTGACTTCACACTGACCCCAGCCTAGTGACGCTCTCCAGAGAGCCGGAATAATGAGTGGCTTTCAGACACGTGCTCCTGGTAGGCAGGGGACTCGAGCACTGGCTGCCTCTGGTCCCCGAGGAGGGTCTGTGTCAGCTTAGACGCACAGAGCAGCGGGGTGGACACTACCACAGGCCCAGGGCCCCCCAATGAGGCTGCGCCTCGCACAAAGGCAGAAAGGAGGCTGAACGATAGCCCAGGAGGCTTCCCGAGCCTGTGCCGCGCCCGGGGCTACAAGAGCCGGGGAGCAGGGGTGTGGTCCTGGTGGGTGAGTCTTCCTGCAACTTAGACTAAGGCTCTACACACGTGGGGCCCTGCAAAGGGCCCGAGACAAATATGCCTCTTGTCCACTCAGGCCATAAAACCCCACCAAGTAAGGTACTGTTGCTTCAGAGGCAGAGAAACCCACGTCCGGGCCTCTGGGGCTGGAGTGAGAGCAGCAGCTTCCTCTCAGTGGGACCTCGCTCCTAATAGTCAGGTGCTGTGTTTCCCAGGACTCGCTGGCACCCAGACCTCAGATGACGAAAACGAACTGTACCTGAGGGGGGGATGGTTTTCCCATCAGCCATAAATTCTTGCCTCTCATATTTAGCTCGAATCCATTGCTCCTTCAAGACCCTGAAAAGAGAGAGGCTCTGGTCAGCTGGGTCTGATGCACGCTGGCCACAGAGGGTGCTCGGGGGCCCTGCAGCTGAGGGTGGGAGCAGCACGGCAGCGGCTCTCACTCAGCCTTGGGGCTGATGAGCCCTGTAGTGGGGGCCGTCCTGTGGTTTGTAGGATGTCTGGCAGCACCCCTGGCCTCTGCCCCCTGGATACCAGTAGCTTTCTCTTTCTAGTGATACTTAAAAATGTCTTCAGATGTTGCCAGTGGTCTATACAAAAACCACCAGGCTATCCCCACCCGGCCTCAGCCCTCTAGGTCAGTGAGACAGACACCAGCTCCTCTGGGTCATCTACTGCTCCCTCTGCCTGCGTGCTCCTCGCTTAAGCCTGGAGAGCCCAGCGGCCTCTTCCTGTGGCCCGTTGGTGAACTCTGGGCATGCTACACTGGACAGAGTGGTGGGCTTGGGGTTTGACCATTTCGGACCTGGTCCCACTCTACCATTTATCTATTGTGTGACCAAGAACAAGAGACTTAACTCCTCTGAACTTGAGGACTAGGCCAAGTACTCCACAGGGTGGGTTTAAATGTACATAAAGGGCCTAGTACCACGCTCGACACATAGTAGGTAGTTAATGTTAGCCCAATCGGGTATTGTCTTCCATGACCCTGCAGAAAAACCACGGACTTAATTCAATTATTTGCTACTCTCTCACAATTTTGAGGTAAATGTTCCAAGGTTTATGTGACCTCAGCCCCACAACCACAGGGAGCGACCTAGAGCTGGGCACTGGCCCAAACTGGTCAGAAACCTGCCCAGGGCTGTGTGGACCAAAAGGAGCAAAACCTACAGAGGCAGGAATCAGAAGCCCTCCTTGGAGGCAAGCTGGCAAGCTGGAGCTGGAGCCAGAGGCGGCCTTGCTCCCAGCTGTGTGAAAGAAGCCCAGCGGAGGAACAGAAGCAAGGTGGAGAGCCAGGCGGGTGTGAGACGCCTGACAGTGTCTGTCCCGGCTTGTCCTTCTGAGGGTGACACCACCTCTGTCCTTCCTGCATCTGATCCCCAGAACGCATAACATCCTGTTCCTAAGCCGGTTTTAATGGGGTTTCTGTCACTTTCAATCGAGAGTCCTATCTTGCTCTTTGGCTTGAAGGAGGCTTAAGTGCAACTTCCTTTGGTCGTTCTGACTCCGGGTTCATCCGACACCAGCGGCCTCCACTGTGCCGCCAAAGCTCAACCCCAACAAGGTCGAAGCTGTACACCCAAGGTGCACTGCTGGGGAAGTCAGTGCCACGTCTGCCCTGGCCCGCAAGCTCCGCCCTCTGGGTCTGTCTCCAGAACAGGTTGGTGATGATATCGCCCAAGGAACGGGGGGTGGGAAGGGTCTGAGGATCACAGTGAAACGGACCATCAGGACAGATGGGCCCAGACTGAGGCACTGCCTCCTGCCTCTGGCCTGGTCATCGAAGCCCTCAGAGAACCCAAGACAGAAACATTAAGCACGGCAGAAATACTGCTTTTGACAAGGTCGTCAACACTGCCTGACACATGCGGCACTGATCTTTAGCTAGAGAACTCTCTGGAAGCATTACAGAGGTCCTGGGGGCTGCCGAGTCCACGGGCTGAGATGTGGGTGGCCGCCCCTAGTGACGTCATAGGTGACGTCAGAGGTGACGTCAGCAGCGGTGCGGTGGAATGCATGGCCAGTTAAGAACCACAAGGGAAATACTTCAACTACAGATCATTTGACAACCAAAACCAACCAACAAAAACAAAGAGTCCTATCTAAGGCATAATCCTCACGCAGGACACCGAGGAGAGTCACCAAGCCCACCGGGGAGCCCGGAGTCACAGGGTCAGAGGCCCCAGTCCTGGTCCTCGGAGGTCGGGAATGTGGAAGGCTTTCATTTTTATTTTATTTAATTTTTTAAAAAGATTTTGTTCATTTATTTTTAGACAGAGGGGAAGGGAGGGAGAAAGAGAGGGGGAAAAACAATGGGTGGTTGACTCTCATCCACCCCCCTGGGGACCTGGGGCCGCAACCCAGGCGTGTGCCCTAGACTGGGATTTGAACTGGTGATGTTTTGATTTGCAGGCCAGCGCTCAACCCACTGAGCCACACCAGCCAGGGCTGAATTTGGAGGGCTGTTAGAACTAAAGGGTGGAGGCCATTAATATTCAGCTAAAAGGGGTTAAAGTGCAGGGCCGTTGTTGGAATTATGACAAGTCATCTGTGTAGCATGGGCAAAGCTCAGCACATAGTAGGTGCTCATCAAATGCTTGTTCCCTTCCCCTTGGAGCAAAGGGTTGAGTGGCAAAGGAGGGGCAAGATGATTAGGCCCTAGGTCCTGGCTGGGTAGCTCAGTTGGTTAGAGCATTGTCCTGATATGCCAAGGTTGCAGGTTCAATCTTCACTCAGGGCACCACATACAAGAATCAAACAAAGAGAGAATTAAACAAATTAATGCACATAATTATGTAGCACAGGGCCTGGTATATAGGGAAAGCTCAAGAAATACTCACAGCCTATTTTCTTATGGCTATTATTTAAGGATCTGGGGCCCAGGCAGCTGCTTTGGGACAGCCCTAAGCATAACACTCTGCAGGAAGTAGCTGGAATACATGTGTACTGCCAAAACACCAGCATTTCTCTTCTCTATCAAGTTAGCCACCACCTGTGAGAACAAGAGGCAAATGGGGCAGATAACAGAGAAAATGTCCCATTTCATAGCTTTGAAAACTGAGTCCCGCCCTAGCTGGTTTGGCTCAATTGGCTGGGGCGTCATCCCATAACCAGAAGGTTACGGTTCAGTTCCCACTCAGGGCACAGGCCTAGGTTGCAGGTTCATCCCCTGTCCAGCCACATGCAATCCCCAGTCAGTACAGGAGACAACCAGTCGATGCTTCTTCCTTGCATCAATGTTTCTCTCTCCCTTCCTGTCTCTAAAAAACAATGAAAAAAGATGTCCTCAGGTGAGAGAAGAAAAGAAGAGAAAACTGAGTCCCAGAGGGTGGTAATGGCAGCCCACACAATGAAGACAGAGAAGGGTTTAAACTAGGCCTTGGGTGTTCTCCATGACAGTACCAAGCTCTTTCCCGGATCTACCTGCTGACCAGGTCCACAGGGGAGACCACTGCACACAAAGATTGGGACCAGGAAATCAAGCACTCACAGGCAGTCGCTGGCCTGGGGGATGTAATAGGAAGCAGGGACTTTGGCTTCATACTTGGCCTTCACGCGGAGGTTCCCGTTGTGGGACATAAACTGCAAAACAACAGCAACTTGATGATAATATTAGAACTTGAAAAATGTGAAATGAAACCAGGGTCTGCCCAGAAGGCCACTGTTTTCACTGGCTCCTATGCTGAGTCAGGAGACAGTCCCGGAGGAGTCTGGCACTTCCCTTCAGGCTGTCACCAGGCTACGGGAAAGCCCCAGCCTGGAGCCATGAGGTGCTGTAACAACTGTACCTCACAGAGGCAGAGCACATTATAGTTCCCATACTTTAGTTCACTTGACCCCCTTAACCATTTCAATATGATGTTCCCCGTTTTAGAGACGAGGAAACTGAGGCTCAGAGAGGTTAAGTGACTTACCCAAGGTGACACAGCCAGTAAGTGGAGAGTTGGGATTTGAACCCAGGCCTATCTAACTCCAAAGCTCATGTTCTTCCTCCCACCCCCTCCACAGATGGCCAGGACCCCCAGCAACAGCCCCCTGCAAGTGTGCAGGTGGTACATGTAGGTGAAGGATGGAAGCCAATGCTGGCCCCATAGAGTACTAGTTCAGGATTACCACTGGGGCCTGTGACACCTGAGAGGCCCAGAAGCACATGTGCCAAGAGTGACTGTGACCAACAGTTAGTACTCAGTGACAGCAGTGGCATCTCTGGGGTGAAGGCAGTGTGGGGAAAATACACCGGGTTGATAGGGTGAACCCTGCTCTCCTCCCCATGGACCACCGGGTTGTATCACAGCATTCACATGGGCTTTGGACCCCAGCAGAGTGGTTCACATCCCAGATGTGCCACTCGTTTCATGGAGTGGGAGTGACTCTTTGCCAATACTCAACCCCCGAGCTTCAGGGGTCTCACCTACAAAACTGAGGAAAATGTAACAGGAGAGTTAAAAGGTACAAATAAGCCCTGGCTGGTATGGCTCAAAGGACTGAGTGTTGGCCTGAGAACCAAAGGGTCACTGATTCGATTCTGGTCAGGGCACATGCCTGGGTTGTGGGCCAGGTCCCCAGTGGGGAGCACAAGAGGCAATCACACATTGATGCTTTTCTCCTTCTCTTTCTCCTTCCCTTCCCCTCTATCTAAAAATAAATAAAATCTTTAAAAAAAAAAAGGATCAAAGTGATCAAGAAAAAATATAAATGAAAAAAAAGATACAAATAAGTAGCCTTTGGGTTTATGTGCTGGTTTGCTGATTTCCTGTCCTTCTACATTAGAATATAAGCTTCGTGTGGGCAGAGACTTTATTTTGCTCACTGCTCTCTTCCCACACCCAGCACATAGTAGGCATCCAGCAACTAGGTGTTGCATGAATGAGTAAAGCATCTAACCCAGTAGCCTAGCACAGCGTGGGCACTCAGAGACCCTGGGCCTGCTTCCCCAGCAGCCCTTGACATCCTCAGCCAACCAGCATCATTTAGAACTGCCTGCACTCTGAAGGTTTTCTGGCCAAACTGACATTTTCGCCTGGGCTGCAGGTGTCTGCCATCTCCACGGATCCTGGCTAGGGGGACTGGAGGGAGATAACGGACCCAGGACACTTGAATAGGGAGGCTCCTGCTCCAGTCCAGGACTTCAGCCAATGAGAACAGCAGCTGTTAACTGACTACTTCCTTTGTATCTGCCTGGGGCCTCCGTTTAATCCTTACAGCAGCCCTGTGATGGGGGGTAGTAGTATCCCCATAATACAGATGTGGAAACTGAGGGTCCACAACTTGGTTTCAATAACGAGCTCGGCCTCACAGTTTGTAAATAAACAAGTGATAAAGCTAGGACTTGAACTCAGGGCCTCTGTCTAAGCCACAGTTTCAACAGGCTGTGTTCTCTTTCCCTAGTTAGCGCCCCTCTCTGGGCCTTAGTTTCCTTCCCTGTAAAATGGGAGTGCCCTACCCTCTGCCCCCACCCCAGCTCTGCTGTTCCCAGGCTCTCCACGTGTGCCCCTTGCTACCTCCACAGTACTGTCGTCCCAGAAGTCAAGTCTCACGGATTTAACTTTGCTGATGTCTGGGAAGTTTCGGTGCACACCAGAGCAGTTCAGACAGATGAAGATGCCCAGCTTGTAAGACGCCCAGTCAGGATCTGCGGGGCGAGAGGGCAGGAGCAGGACTGATGGAGAGCGGGAAGGGAAAGCTGAGCTGGACTGAGGGCACTGGGAGAGGCAGTGCTTGGTTCCTGGGGCCATGTCCAGTTCCGCCCATGCTGGAAACCCTTCTCTCCTGGTGTCCCCCACCTGGGGTGTACGAAGAATACCAGCATCCCACCGGCCACGGCACGTTAGCGACTGGGATAAAGATCTTGGAAGTTCTGGGAATGCGGGCAAAAGGCCAAGGCGGGTGCAAGCAACAAGCCTCCAGGGAGCTGAGAAGGGAAGAAGGACCGAGGGACCGGCACCGAAGCGCCCGTCTGGGGAGCTGCAAGTGGGGAAGTCGTGCTCCTAGACTGTCAGGAAACACTCCCACGCGAATCTGACATTTCCCACCAGGGGCGCCTGGGGGCCCGGGCCCTGCACGGTCAGGGGGCTCCGGAGCGAGGTCTGGGGCCCCTGGACGTGTGGGATGTCAAGGACTGAGGATGTGGGCAGTGGCGTCAGGGACGGAGGTCCGGGCGGGCAGGGTGTCTGGCCGGGGAGGCAAGCAGGCTGGTGAGGCACCGGGTCCCGAAGGCGCGCGGGGGTCCAGAGCGAGGAGGAGCGGGGTGGGGGCGGGGGCGGCCAGCGGCGCGGGTCGGAGATCCACGCTCTGGGCGGGCGGGGGCCTGGCTCCGAAGGTGTCCGAGGGTCACACCCGGGTCCGGCGGGGGCCCGGGGCGGGACCCGGTCTGGGAGGACGGGAGGGGTCTGGCGGGCCGGGGTCTGGCTCTGCGTCCCCGGCTGCCCGCGCCCTTACCCGCGGCGCCGCAGTCGGCGCAGTGCGCGTTGCCCGTGCCCGCCGTCCGCAGCAGCTCCAGCAGCCGCTTCTTGTTGCGCTCGCGGTCGCCCATGGCCCGCCCGGCGGGCTCAGCGGGGCTCAGCCGGGCCGCCCATGGCCTGAGCGCTCGCCCAGCAGGTGGAGAGGGACCGAGCCGCGGCGTCTGCGCTCCGGCCGCGCCTCCGCCGGCCCCGCCCCTCCACGACTTCCCGCTCCGCCCCCGCCGCGTCCCCGCCGCCTGCGGGCTCCGCGGGCTTCGTGGACTCCTCTCCCAGCCGGAGCGCCGCGCTCGGAGTCACAGGGGCTCCGGATCCAGTCGTGCCCGCCACTCGCTAGCTGCGCCACTGCGGACGACCTGTTCAGCCTCGCTGGGCCTCCGTTTACGCCTCTGCAGAAGGGGAGAGAGACGTTCTCAGGACTCCCTAGAAAACCAGACTCTAACGTCTGTCAAAGCGTTCTACTCATGTAGATTTTACATCTACTTAAAGATTTGGAGACGTTCAAATGCCACCTCCCCAGGAAGCCCTCCTTGATACTCACTCTCGAGGAATCACTCCAGCTTGTGGTCCTCCTAGAACACCGTTATAGAACACGGATCTGTCCGTGCCAAGTTGTCCCGAGCACCTTCTAGCTACGTTGCATCAGTTATTTATATATTTCTGTAAGTCCCTTTTCTCTCCAACACACACCCACATTTTAAAAAAGATTTTATTTGCTTTTAGAGAGAGGGTAAGGGAGGGACAAAATAAGGAAGAGATATATAGATGTGGGAGAGACACGTCAAAGTCCGCCTCTCACACGTCCCTCACTGGAGACCAGGCCGAGACCCAGGCATGTGCCCTGACTCGAAATCAAACCAGCGACTCTGGTTTGCAGGCCCGCACTCAGTCCACAGAGCTGCACCAGCCAGGGAATGATACTTTAATGTCAGTAGTTTTCTTTCTGTACCCCACATGGCTCCTGGAAGTGATATCTGCATATGTTTGGAAGTCCGATAAATGGTTGCATGACTCTATTGATGGGTTTCATCGATGTGAACACCCCTAGTTTTTTTTTTAATCTGCTAATTTTTAGAGAGAGGGGAAGGAAGGGAGGGAGGGAGTGGGGGGGGAGGGTCGGGGGAGAGAGATACACACAGACAAGAGCTCAGGCCTCCATTCATTGCTCCACCCACTAAACGCATTCATCGGTGGATTGTTGTGTGTCCCCTGACCCGGGATCAAACCGAGACCCTGGGGCGCCAGCCAACTGAGCTACTCCACCAGGGCTCCGCTGACCAGTTTTATCCCCAAAGTATGAGCAGGTGTGGGCAGGTGTGGGCAGGACCTAGATGGCCTTGAATAGGGGCATTTCATTAATCCATATTCCCATCACTCTTTGACACGATTCTTGGTGACGCACAGGCTTCTAGTAAGACACACACTGCACACACTTGCCATCCCCTCTGTAGGTAAACACCCATCTGTCATATGCCTGTGGCTTAATGCACACAGATGATAGGTTTCCACCCTGATGGTTGGCAGCTGATGGTGTAGCCGGCTTGCCTGTATCCCCAATTCAACGCACATGCAAACCCACAGGGCAGCTCAGTATAATGGAATGAATCCAGGAAGCCAGGCTTTGAATCTTGGTGCCATCACTTACTAGCTGTGTGACCTTGGGCAAGAGCCTTCACTTCTCTGAGCCTCGGACTCTTCACCTGTAAAGTGAGGATTGCCAGATCCACCTAGTAGGGTCATCAAGATGTGCCAGTACATGGCACACGAAGTCCTCAAAACACAGTGATGTCCCTGCTTCCACTGCCCCTCTGGTCAGCTGGTGGGATAATCATTTGGAATGCTGTATGTCATCTCCCATCTTCCCCGGGGTGCAGGGGGTCAAGCTCCAGGCCCCAGGAAAGGGGGACATTACCAAGAATAACCAGCCAGGAGGGTCTTAACAGGGTGGGGGGGCTAGCCCAGGACCAACTCCAGAGGAACCAGGGAGAGAACCCAGAGGGTCAGAGGGCATGGGGTTGTTTACCAAGCGGCTGCAGATGATTCATTTCCGCTGCTTTAGATGAAAAAAGGGACAGAAATAAATCTCCCAGGAGAAGGATGGGAAAAGCGTCCTAAAGTATGAAGGCCAGGGGTGGGGGTGTAGGGGGACGAAGAGGGGACAGGCCAAGGACACCACTCCCAGCTGCTAAACACCAGGGTGAACCCAAAGCTGGGAGCGGGTCCTGGGCACCCCAGCCCCCCAGGTCGGTGTCCCTTTGTCCCCCTGACTTGCTCTCCTCTGGCATTTGGGTCTCTCAATCCTGTGTATCAGCCATGGGAAAATGTGGCACCTCCTTTGCCACAAGGAGCCAGAGATCGAGAGGTTCCTTTAGTTTTCCTTCTTCCACCCCTTAATCCCAAGCCTTAGAGTGGAAGGAATTTCAGGCATCCTTCAGGCAAAGGAAAAGAAATGGTACTTCTGTATTTTGCTTATGATAAGGTTTCTTTCTTTCCTCCCTTCTTATCCAGTGTGTTACCGAGAGCCCCACACCGCTTGATCACGTTTGAGTTCCAGGACAGCCAGCTGTGTGGGGACAGCACGTTGTCCTCAGTGGAGTGAAGTCACCAACATCATAGAGCCGAATAAGGGGAGGCACCGGAACCGAAATCCAGGTGTCCTAACGGGTGTCTGTCAGCCCCAGGTTATGTCCCAAAAGCTCACAGGACAAGTCTGCTCTTTCTTTAGTCTTCCCATTTCTAGATTTTTTTTTCATTTTTAAAAATATTGCAGTACCCTGGTCAGGTGTCTTGGTTGGAGAGTCCTCTTGTATACCAAAAAAGAGTTGCTGGTTCAAGTCCCAGTCAGGGCACATACCTGGATGTGGGTTTAATTCCCAGTCTGGGCACCTATGGGAGGCACCCATCAATAGTTCTCTCTCACATCGATGTCTCTCTCTCTCTCAAATCAATAAACATACCCTTGGATGACGGACCTGTATATGTAAGATTCCTGCACCATACAATTGGCCAATTTAAAGTGTACAATCCAGTGGCATCAATTACATTCACAGCGTTGTGCAACCATCACCGCTGTCTGTTCCCCCAACTTCTTCCTTGCTGCAAAGAGAAACTCTGTAGCCCACTCATGGGGACTTGAGCGAAGCAGAGCTCAGCCCTGTGTCCAGGAAGCAGAAGCTGCTCTCAGTGGGGAGCGCTGAGCACTGTGCCCAAGGCTGTAACCGAGGTGGACAGGGAGCACTGGGGTCGGGGGCAGGGTGGGCTGAGGCAGCTTCCCTCCCCGACTCAGTCCGCACAGCAGCTGCTGGGGTGAGGGGGCCAGTCTGGGCCCTGGGACAGAGTGTCCTCCCCAAATACAGTTCCCAGGATCACTCAGAGGGCAAACATCCAGCCGGCTCTCAGGACCGCTGTCTCCGGGCAGCTGAGCCCAGCTGTGGCGGGGCTGGAAGAAAGCCTTCAATAACATTCCTTGCCCTGGACCAGGCTCAAGATTCCCGGGAAATAGACCACAACCTCTTGGAAAATTCAAATAATTTTGTTTGTTAGTTTCAGAATAAAACAAAAAAACCCTCATTATACATTGTTCACAGCAATGGCTACCTTTATTCAGGGACTGCTATAGTGAGGTCCTTACATGCATTATTCCATTTTATCTTAAATGCGACCCTGAGGTATAGACTACTTTTTATGCCCAGTTTACAGATGAGCCAACTGAGATCCTGAAAGACAATTGCAGTAAATGTGTCCAGGGTTACCCAACCGAGGTGATGTATACTAAATGATACATAGTTTTGAGCTGGGATTCAAATCCAAGTTTGCCTTGGGTTCTTTCCAATGCTGGCGAACTGTATGAAGTTGAACTGTATAAAGCTGACTTACAAAAACAGTGCCGCCAAACCTCAGTTCTTGAAGGTCGTCTACCTCGAACACTTCAGTTCTTGAACAGCCTTCGGAACAAGTTGAATTTCAGCCACGGCTCCACCGTAATGGTGATGGCGTGCAGTTCAACGAGTGTGCGGCTTTTAACAGTCTCACCACCAGTGTTCACGGAATTTCCCTTTGTTTTTTTATATCTCTTTTTATATAATTGGGACCGTATTTTCCATATTATATCTTTTTACTTTCTTTACAGTGTCTCATAGTATTATAGATGCGTCATGATGTAATTTGATGGCTGTGTGATACCATGTGGGTTACGGGCATTTCCTTGTTGGACCATTTGATCACCTTCAGTGTCGTTGGACGAATATCACTTACGATAGATTTTTGCTGTCACACCTAATGCTGCAAAGAGGATCTCTGTGTCTGAAGTGTGTTCCCTCTTTAATGCTGTGTTTCCCAGCACCACAACCCGCTGGCATTGCGCCCTGGCTTGCTTGTCTCCCTCTAAGCCTCTGGAGGACAGGGTCAGGTTAGATGTGCCCTCCACTGTGTTCCCGGCACCTGCCTGCCGCATGGCGGGGATTAGAGGAATATGGGCTAAATAAGGAAGAAACGAGTAGGGGTAAAAAATAATAATAAATGATGACGTCAGAGGACTTGGGTTGACAAAAGTGTCTTCCTTATCGAAGGAAAGAAGTAACAGGCAGGTCTGCGGAACAGCACCAAGTCCAGCAGCCGAGCAGAAGGATCCGATCCAGGTTGCCCACCTGTTTACACATTCAGTGTCTCTTGGTGTTCGACGGGACCCAACTGAGAACCCACCCAGACCCCTGTCCCTGGAACACTGCCGCAGTGTCTGTTCATTCACTCATTAAGTAGTTACGGGGCGCATGTTGTGTGCCAGGCACTGTTATGGGTGCTGCGGATAAACAAAACACACAGGCCTCCCTCTGTGCAGCTCACCTTCAGGCGGAGGAGACAGAAAATGAAGGGAGAAACAGATATACCTGCATACCACCTGGTCTCAGAGTGACTGATGCTCGAAGGGAAATAGAGTGAAGGGACAGAGAGGGATGGGAGATGCTGTTTTAATAGGGAGAACAAGGAAGCCCTCTCTGAAGAGGTGACATTTGAGAGGTGGTGAGGTTTGCCACCCCAAAATATGCCTCTTTGGGATCTTGATTATTTTAGGCTGGTTATTTTTAGGAAAATGAGATGGACCTTTGATCTTTCTCCAGCTGTCTGAAAAAACTCAGAGGACCTGCTCCAGGAAGGGAGCTTTTATCACAGGTA